AGCTTGGAAACGTCCATGGGCTAGTTCCCATTGAGAAAGTGCCTTTGAGAGTGGGGACAGAAGAACAGCTGGCATCAAGCAAGATTCACTGGGAATGACCAGCCTGGGGACAATTGCTTCTAGAGCCAGGAGAGGACAGAGGATCGTCAGACTACCCATAATTACAGGCAACAGAACTGTGACCATTTCCATGGACAAGCAGATTACTGCCATACAAAGGGCTGGGGCTGAGAGGCCGAATTGTTGGGGCTCAGCCTTCGGGTTCCACCCAACAAAAGCTACCTTCTAATTGCACTGCCTGGTGCCCAGAACCTGTCATCCTAGTTCCCAGCTGGCTCCCATGGCCTTGCATCTCATCAGTTCTCCAGCCAGAAGCCTGGTTCCCAGCATAAGGTCAGTTAACCTTTGGCTGTGGCCTCCACACCTGCCTGCCAGAATCTTGGCCTAGCCCTGGCTCCTGATGCCATGGGGGCTAGGATGATCTGCATCTGTGCCTAGACAGACAGGGAGCCAGGCTCAGACAGGCTGCACGGAGCTGAATTCCACTGGCAAGCTGTGCAGCCTTGGGCAAGTGGGCTGGGTTCTCTGAGACTCAGGCTCCTCCTTGGACTGGCAGAAGCAACGGAAACTTAAGGACCAGGGATCATTCCAGGCACAGGGCTCTGACAGCTGGGTGCTTGGAGTATGCAGGGTCCCCAAATTCCTAAAGCCATCAACAGTCTGACAGGGTGTCCAGACTTGTATGGAGACTGATGAGGACAGCAAGGGTGGTTGGAGTGACAAGGGCACCAGCAATAGGCAGTAGAGATAACTGAGGAATGAAGCCCAAAGAGCAACAAGCACAGACCCCACCCCACGAGGTAGTAGTCACTTTTCCACAGATGTCCTTGATTCTCCCAGTGTCCTGGGACCTCATCTCTGTCTTCTCTGGCTGTCCTAGGAAGCTGCTGAAGGCAACAGCTCCACCCTCCTGCAGCAGAAGTCAGGTTTCCCACAGCAGCCTGGGTTCATAAGAGGATGGGAGCAGCAATCTGTATTGGGCCTGGAAACCCAGTGTAGTAGAAGAGGTGAGCTGGGGACAGGGTACTTTGAGTAGTGGCTAGCTTACATGAGAGAGCATGGTCTCATTTCTATACCCCTACCTCCTCTCCTGTCTCCCCTTTCAGTTCACAGTGACAATCTTAAGTGCTGCTCCAGCTCTTTGTGCCCAGGTCTCCTCCCCCTCTGTTCACTATCTCCAGTTCTAGACAAAAAGGGCCAAAGCAAAGGGACACAGGCTGCTGGTAGAGGGGCCTTCTGCTGGGCTGAACCAAAGAGTCTGGAGGGTAGTGCCAACAGGATGAGCAGCAGAGGTGGTCCTGTGTCTGCATGTGCCTGGTCCCTAGTCCCGCTCTTCTGGGCTTGTTAGGGAGGCCATAGGATGAGTGGCAGCCAAACCTTGGTCAGGGAAGGGAGGGGCCCACCTGAGACAGGAAACACAGACCAGCAAAGGCAAGAATAAAGCTAAACAAACATCACCTAGGTAACTAACTGAGCTCTGCTGGCTGCAAGTGTGCACACATGCGCACGTGAGTGGGACTTTGGACCTGATACTGAGAGATACAATGACTGACGTGTTTCCTGACGGCTCTCACTTTGCTTGTCCTTCTAGCCTGTTGTGGTGACACTGCCTATCACAATGAAGGTGAGGGCACCTTCACACAAACAGGACAGGAACCTTGTCCAGGCCCCCACAGGGCTGAGACTCAAGAAACTGTTACCCTTGGGATACATTCCCACTACCCTCAAGGACTAGGTTGGCCAGCGGTTGCCCCTATACTGTTCTAGACTCACCTCTGGCCTTACCATGGAACTTCTGCTACACATTTTGTGGACTCATTTTTGTCTTACCAGGGGGTCAGACACCAAAAAGAACTGTCCCCGCTCTTCATTCCCCACTGGTGCCCAGGTTGGTGGCTCCTATGGGCATGGACAGAGTCTGGGCCACATCTGCCAGTTTGGCTATGGCTTGGCCTGTATTAAATGAAGGGAGACCAACCTGTCCTGCACAGAGATCAAAATGGCCAGAAAACTGGAGGTCCTGGCTCTGCCCCTGTGGAAGCCTCCACAGCACGTGGGTCCAGGGGCTCAGCCTGGGAACTTACCTCAGCCCCCTCAGCTGTCCTTTTAGCACTGCTGGTATAGCCAACTCCAGGCAAACAAACGACCTTAAATCAGGCATGGGGCAGGGCTATCTGAGATGGTCCAGCAGCAATAGTAGTGGAGGCACTCCAATCTGTGTACCTGGGAAGGGGGCTGTCACTCTCAGAAACCTAGCACACTGAAGAGGCCTGCCTGGCACAGTGCCTGGTGCCGAGTACATACCAACTGAACCCTGGAATGAATGCATGGGTGTTGAGTCGTGTGGGTCCTTGGGATCCCACTCTCCCCTCAGCTCCAATGTCCCCACAGGCAAACTTCCTCTGAGATACCATTACCACCGCCCACCAAAAGCTGATGCCAGAATGAATGAAGAGCCTGGCACAGGCCCTGGACTCACCACACACATATCTGGAAGGGGGTGAAACAGGCCTAGTGGGATGGGACCCCCCAGCCCCACCCCCCAGTCCCAAACAGGGTAATCCAAACAGGGTAGTATACTTGGAGAGCTGGAGGCCAAGTGGGATGTGAGGCCGATGGTCACAGTGGCTTGAATAGTGTTCAACAACGGCCTTCCTGCTGAATGACTTCAGGGACTTCAGGCTGTAAGCCTCACTAGGCCTAACAGCTGGCTTCAATCCCATGGGACTTGCAGCTGAGCACCATGGCCCCATGAAGGAGGGCTGGCTCATCTGGTGTCCTTCAGTGTTCTGCTCTGGGATGTGGGTATAGGGAGGCTGTTTACTCCCCAGCCTGTTCTCCACTACTGTTGAGGCCCAGCCGAGGCCTGGCCCTAGAACCTGGCACAGACCTGCAGGGCTGCCGTGTCAGCAGCTTGTCTGGGATGGTGCAGAACCACTGACAAGTGCCCTTGAACAGACACCTAGAAAAGTTGGACAGATATCAAGACAAACTTGGGTTGGGCCCCAAACCCTTGGAGGCCGTGTAATGCGCATTCTATGTTAAGTGAGGACACACCACTCAAGCCGAGAAGCAGACTCTGGAGTGAGAGTGGCGGCTCCACTGTAGGCCCAGCATGTTTGTCAGCTGTCCTTCAGAAGGCCCTGTCCTGGGTCAGGCTGACTCCTGACTCCGTAACGAGAACAGAAGAGCAAACAGCTGAGGGTGCTAAACAGTCTTTGAGAACTTTGAGAAGGGAAACTATTTTCAAGCCCGTCAAAAAGAAGAAAAGTCAGATGGATGCTCATCTATGAGAACTCTCTGCTCTGCCTGGCTCCTTGGTTGGGAACTTGAGCTGCTCCAGTGCCACTCCCTAGTCAGTCTCTGCCTGATGGCCATTGTTTGCTCTCCACTGGGCTACTCCAGTTGTCTCTGTGGAACACTGTGAGTGCTATCTGATTTGCTATTTATCTGCTACTTCATACGCTCACTCAAAATCAAAAACATGTCTATCATAGCTCATTTTCTGCACACGACAGAACAGGCCTTTGCAAGAAATAATAAAAAGCAGGAGGGACCCTGTAAAGAGCTTTGGTGACTCCCTCTCTGCAGGCTTTGGTAAACCTTCTGAAGGTACTGCATTAATATGAGGTGTGACCGTAACTGTGGCTTGGCCTACAGCAATTCCCCATCTACACTGGCAGCCCTTGTTCCACATGAAACTGCTCCAATTTATTTTCCACCAAGTGACAGGATGGTGGCTGTCCCCTCCCCCAATGCCTGAACTGCATGCATCCCTGGAGTCCAGCAGGACAGACAAGTGTAAGGGGGAGACCCCAAAACTCCAAGCCAAGGTTTCTATCCTCCTTGCTGAACCCACCCAGACATGGAGGGCCATGAGAAAGGGCTGCAGAATCTAAGCAGCTGGCAAACAGGCCCTCTTCTAAGGGGTGCTACTGTGTCCTTCCTCCAGAGCAGGCAGGTGGGCTCCCTAGCCCTGGGTGGCCATCATTTTTCACAGGTGAAACACCTACAGAGGTACCCAGGAGGCAGAAGCAGGCAGGGAAGCGTGACCCGGCTGTCCCAGAGCTAACTCATCCCTCAGTGTGCTTGTCTGGTCTGCCAGGGCCTCAGAACAGTACTCATGAACCAATCACCTATGTCCCTCAGTGTGCTTGTCTGGTCTGTCAGGTCCTCAGAACAGGACTCAAACTGATCACCTTTGTCCCTCTGTTCAGTTGGAGCACAATATTCCTGCCTTGTGGCTGCAAAGGCTCTGGGGAGTGACATGGTGCCTTGGCTGTGGAAGTCTTCCAAATGGGACCAGAGGCACCACAGGCCCAGATGGTCTGGCCTAGGGAGCGAGCCTTGTGAACCAGACATTCAGAGGGGCTGATGTCACCCAGAGTCTTCGGTTGAGTGGCCCTCTAGAACAAAGGAGAGGAGAGCTAGCCAGCTCTCCCTACCCACACAGCTGTGACTGGCTCAGTCTTTTGCTGAAGTCTGAGAGAGGCTCTAGAGAGCCTAGGAGGAGGGGAGCAGGTCTCAGAGGTCCAAAATGTAACGCCAGGGGCACCACACCTGTTAAATGAGGTCTCATCCGGGGGACTGGGGATGCTGGGTTGATGCACAGGCTTTCTTTGTGCAGCTGCTAGGAAGGGTGGGCAGAGGATAGGGCCTAGCAACGGGAGCAGCTATTCTCACTAGCCTGAGTCTTCCTGGGGTCTCTCCTCTCTGCCCAGCAGGAGACTGTCAAATGTTTTCAAGGCTTTTGAAGTAGACGCTGACCGCTGACCAGGGCCTGCTTTGCTGAGCTCTCTTTTGGCTAGGGACTAGAAAATCATCATCAGCCCCCACCCCTGTCTAGAACACAATTCAAATTCAGTAGCAGTCTTACTGGTATGTCACCACAAGGCTGTGAGTTCACTGGAAAGCACTGGGCAAGCAGCAGCCAAACCCCCTTTCCAATGTGTACTAAGTCATTCATTTATTTCAAGATGTGCACACTCAAGCTGGCCAGGACAACTCACAGCCCCTAGGTATGTATAGGTCCTTCAATGGCTTGGGCTACAAACAATTCATAGCCCACGCCGCATACACACGTGATAGATAGAGCAGGAAACCTACAAACCCCAAGTCACTCCGAGAAAAATGAGGGAGGAGGGGGTGCTAATGCAGCATCTGTGGGGAAATGAATGCACACGGAGGGAGGAACGAGGGAGGAAGGCAAGCTAGCTTCAATCTCGTCACCGGGACCTCACTCCCGTGGGGGTGGTCAGGGGATTGAGTTTAATAGGTCCTTTAGGAAGCCCTCTGCATCGGTGACTTCAGACAGGAGACCTGGAAAGCAGAGACAAGAGTGTGAGTGGCATACAGGGTCCCCAGACTCACTGAGTCACAGATGCCTCCTTCATGCACAGAACATGCTCCGATGCAACCGCTTGCTGGATTCTACCAATGGCAGGGAGGTGAGCACTGTGTGACAAATACTCTGCTCCAGAAGTGGGCACCACCAGAGACAATCAGGCAGAAGCCATTTGAATTCCCCGGAGTAGAGGATTCCAACCTTTCCAGGAGGCACTGAAAGGGCTGCAAACTACAACTCTTGAGGTTGGTTGGTTGGTTGTTTTTGGCGGGCTCTCAGCTCCTAGACTGGCTTCAAACTCACTACACAGCTGAGAATCTCCTCTGAGCTTCTGTGCTATCACGCCTATCTGGTGTGGGGACTGAACCCAGGTCTTCATGAATACTAGGCAAGCACTCTTTTAGGTGAACCACACTCCCCAACCCAGAGTGTGTCTTTCTCCATTGCCCTCACCTTATTTTCTAAGATAGGTTCTTAGAGTTCGCTGGCTGGCTACCCTGGCAGTCCAGCAAGCTCAGAACAGGATAGAGGCCTCTAGGTTCTTCTGGGCGTCAGTCCCACCACACCCTAGGATTCCTAAGCAAGCTGCCAGAGTGCAGGGGCTCCATTTTTTCAATTCTCAGAAAGAGACAGTAAGTAGGGAGCCGTCCCTGCCTGCCATGGGGACTAACAGAGGCCTTCGTGGTGGAAGAACCCAGTGCAGCCTCTACACCAAGTCCCCAACAGGCACCTGACCTCATCAGCAGTGTGAAGCCTCGAGTTAAATATGAACTGAATCCAAACAAGTCACCTCCAAGCATCTGCAGTAACAAGGCAAAGTGGCCCGGTTGCTTCTCTCAGCCCCGGAAGGTGTCTTGTTCTTGAATTTGAACAGGCATGTCTGCTGTTCTAGTAGTTTAAAGGTCTGAAGTAAGGTGTAAAAGCCTGGCCTCACAAAGAGACTAGAGGCTCACTGCTGCCAGGGCCTGCCCAGGTACCAGGCCTGGAGGCAGGTGAGTCCTTCGCCCCTGCCCACCTCTTCTCACAGGCTCTGACTTTTACGGTCACTTTGACAGTCTCATGTGACAAGCATGGGCTCAGCACTGAGAACACAGTACTGTGCTCTTGGTCAGGATTAACTCTGAGGAAAATAGTGAGCCTGCTGCCTAACCAGCCAGACTGGGGAGACACAGATGCGAAGAGCAAGGAGCTATGGAGTAAGAAACAGACAAACAAGGGAGCCTGTAACAGCTCAGGCAGCAAGATCAGAGACACCATCCCAGGGCAGAGCCCCCACTGGGCCACAAAGAACAGTGGCCCACAGAGTGCCCAGGACTAGACAAACAGAAGAATGCATGGGACAAGAATCCAGGCCTTTAGTGGCTCTCCTTCCCAGAGGACAGAAAGGTAAGAAGGAATGTTAATAGAAGTATTCACTTGGCAACAGGGCCTGGGGGACTCTCCCCTGCATCTGTACACAACCCCCTACAGTGAACAGCAGAAAGCCGAGAAGCGTGAGCCAGCTAGCACACAGGAGCTGGCCGGGTCAGGTTTCCTCTGCTTTGGCTTAGCAGCTCTCCTTTCTTAGACAGCTCCAGTGGAGGGCTATGACACAACAGTGTCTGGGAAGTGTAATCTGTAATCCTAGGTTGATTTTCCCAGGCTCAAGCCCAGAGTCAAACACACCCGGTTCCTAACACTTTTCAGATATGATATCCAAGTAAGTTTCAAAGTATTTGAAATTAAGTGATCAATTTGTACAAACAATTTGTAGATAGGAGACAATGGACTTGACTTCTGGAGCTGTGGTCCAGATGTTGCCCAGTCGAAATCACAGTCGAAATCACTCCTTGCTGACCATCACCACCTACGCCACACCTGCCCAGGCAGCTATGTGCAAGGAAGACAAGTGCCCTTTTTCCTGTTAATTCTGAGCTGTCACTAAAAGTCAGAACTGGAAGGAGCTTGCCTCTTCTGCGCTACCCATATCCACTTAACCTCAACCGTCCCCATAACAGCACCAACAGAATGAGGCTAACCGGAGTAGCCCGGAACGCTGAGCTCATGTACCATGGGCAGTGGTGGAGCTGGGAGGCCATGGGCACCAGTGCACGCTGCACTGAACCTCTCCCATCTGTGGCTGTTTCATTTGTTTTGGAGATAGGGTCTCTCTAAGTAGTCCTGTCTGTCCTGAAACTTTCTATGTAGATCAGGCTAGCCTCCAACTCGAAGATACGCCTGCCTCTGCCTGAGTGCTGGGATTAAAGGCAAGTGTCACTATACCCAGCAAGTGGGCTGTTTGAATGAACACCTCTACTATGACTGGAGGTAGATACTGTGTGCCTGTTTCTTCTGCTCTGCTCAGTTCCATTGAGACAGACTTGGGCTTTGCCCCAGACAATCTCTCCAAGAGCAAACTGTGCACTGACCTGCTGCATCGAGGAACTCTGAGAAGGTCTCCACTGGCATGAACTCCTCCTGGAAGGTTTTCAGGGCTTTGTCGGCAGCTTCATAGATGGGCATGTCATTGTGGCGGATGTACTCGGCCAGAGAGCAGGACCAGCCGCCCTCCGTGTTACTGGTGGGCACCTTCTAACAAGAACCAATGAACATGGGGTCAGTGAGTAACTGAATGCAGTTACTAGCTCTCTGCCTCTATCTCAGTCTTGTGGAGAGACCTCCCAACACGTACCAGGGCCCACTGGCCTTAGTTTCTCTATGAGGCCTTTCTGTTTATGCAATGTTCCACATGGACCCACATTTCAAAATAGGAATTGCCCACACCTGCATTTCCAAAAAAATCCAAGACGACTGGCATCTCTGAATGGACCATTCCACTCATGATCACAGGGCTCACCCTGCACACTAACTGACCTAAGACGTGTGTGTCCAAGCAGATAGCGAGCAGGGCATTCTACTTTAAGGTGGGCTATACAGGGCTCATTCACAAAGAGCAAAGTGTTACCCATGGGCAAGGACAAGAGTGGGAAGGCTGTCAGCGTGTTTACAGCTCATGGCTTAGAGGGTGCATGACAACTGGCCTCAGCTGCCAACAACTGGATGTGTAGATCTGAGCGGAGGGTGCTCACCTCTCCCCAAGTGGAGACTTTTAGCTTTTCAAGGGCAAAGCACCCAAAGCTAGTGAGGCGCCTCGGAATGTGGCCACCAATGGGATTTGGGCAAGGGTGCACACATCCCACACCTCTTGGAACTGGCTGGGCCCTCAAGTCCTCCTTACCTTAAACATGTTGTAAATGAGATCAACAAGAGCCCAGAAGAGCAGGGAAGAACGGTAGGCAGAATAGTCCTTCACTGCCTTATCTGTTAGCCTGGAAAAGCAGAGCAAAGATGAATGTGCAGGCCCTGCAGACGGGACACAGTCTTGGGGACTGAGGGTGCACAGAAGCTGCTGCACATGCTCGAGTGAAGAGCAGCTATGGGCAGGGAACCTGGAAGCCCTGGCTCCCAGGGCTGTTGCACCAACTCATCTGACAGTCTTAGCACTTTTCTAAACTGGGGTAACAAAAAACAGGGATCATAGGTAAACATGGCACCCAATAGCTCTAACTTAGACACAAGGATTCCTGAGCTCACTTGTAGTCTGCCCCCAACAAACTCCCAAATGTAATGGTGCCTAACAATGAAGAAGAAAAAACAAGGTTCTAACTAAGGCTTTACCTGCCACCAGGAGAAATCTACAGACAAAACAGCCAAACACATGCTCTGCAGAAAACTGGCAAGCTGGTAGAAAATCAGTGTTGAGCAACCGTGATGTCTTGGATTGCCCAGGCAACCACACAATACCTTCCAAATCCCCGGGTAATCCTGGAGGCGCTCACACACCCCTTTGTCTCTAACAAGTGTCATCAGCACCTGAGTGACCTGGCACAGGCTTGAAGGCCAGCAAGTGCCTGGGAACACTGGGGGCGTCTCTGTCAAGGTCCACTGTCTGCAGTAGACAACCCCCTTGTAAGGGATGACTCCACTGGGCTCTGAAGGATCAGAATGCCCCAGCATAAGGGGAGATCTTATTCGTGGCTGTGGAAAGCGAAGGCCAGATGAGCCCCTATCGTGACTTAAGGTCATCTACATCTCAAAACTCTGGTACACAGCCTATGGCTAGGACAAGCAGCAGTGTGCTCAGCATCAACTACTCATTTAGTTTAGGGCTCACCTACCATGAGAGAGGCGAGCCACACTGCCTTCAGCAGCTGTTTAACTTACAAAGTCAAGCCTGTTAGCATGTGCGACCTGTAGCCTCTGCTATGTTCCCTCTTTCCCACCAGCTTAAAAGGTGGGGGTGGGGTGGGGGTGGCACAGCTGTCAACTGTACTGTAAGATGGGCCTGAGGGTAAAGACAACTGTCCAGAATACCTAGTAAGATTCCAGTGGAAGCCTAGGCAACTTCTAGGCTAAAATATCTGCTGAACCCATTTTGCCGAATGTTAAACATGCAGAAGTCATTAACTTCTCTTGAGCTATAGTTTATATTCCCCCTCCTTTGTGTGTCTGTCTGTGTGTGTGTGTGTGGTGTGCGCACACGAGCACACGTGCATACTGTTGGGAATTGAACTTGAGGCCTCACACATGCTAGGCGAGGGCTCTACCACTGAGCTATAGCCCCAGCCCTTTAAACTCTAGTTTTGTGTATCTATCACAGCCTCCTACCCCAAAATGAACAGGACTTCAGACAGAACATGCTGCCAGTGATGGCACCCAAAACCTTCTGCATGCCCTTAGCTGAAAGGCCTCTCCTTCAAGGGTACCCTGATCCTGGGCAAGCCCTCAGCACCTTTTCTGGTCTGGCAAACAGTGGGCTTGGAGTCTGGGCCACAGTTGGGCTTGGCCCTCTGTGGCTGTGCTGCTTTGGTGAGCATGTGTCTTGGGTGACCCTGCCCAGCTTAATTATTTACAGATAATTAGGAAAGGTGACTAAACTGCTACATAGGAAATGGCAAAGCATGAATGCAGCTCAAGCTGGATTTCCTAATCAAGCCATGACGGAATCAGCTTTTCCTCAATTGCTGGGATGGGAATGAGTTCTACTCTTGGCTGAAAGAACCACTCGGGTGGGCTCAGCCTCTACCCAGCCGTGGAAGCCTGCCTGATAAGTGGCCATCCTGGTGCTATGAATGCAATTCCTGTTTCCTTAACAACATCAGCATCGGAAGACCTAGCTTTTGATTTCAAGCAGCTAGTTTACTAACAGTAGGGCTCTTGGGATGTCCTGGACATGACATGTTTGGAATGGGGCAGGAAAACAACTCACTCCTTCCTACTTGGCCCAAATAGGCTTCTATTGGCATGACTCAACAGGAGAGCGGCAAACTGGTCACTCTGGGGGCATGAAGTGCCTAATAGAGGAAAAGTCTCAGGTGGGCCCACTCAGGTACTGTTCCACAGGTATGTCATCACCATGGTTGGAAGGGATCCTCCTTCTGTTCCCTTCCTGGCCTCTAAGTGTGGAAACAAACCTTGGGCCTAAGCTAATGAGTTCAGAGGCTACAGCAGGACTACACAGGGACACCTGGTACTCCACTGGCAGAAATAAGCTACCACTCCAATGGTGCAGTACAGCTCCCCAGGGTGGGCAGCGACTATTCAGGGCCACCATCAACCCAAGTAGTGGCTGAGTCTAATCAATGTGCTGTGAATGATCAAGGGGGTATTGTCAAACAGCCTGGGAGGAAGGCTCTGACTTCACTTACAGATGGCTCTTTCAGATAACCCCTATCTGACCCAAACTATGATGTAAAGTCAAGAAAACATGGACCACTTCCTGCATGCAATGCTCAGTTGGTGCACACATGATTGCAAGGAGGGCATAGCAGGCCTAAGGAAGGTGGGGACAGAAGCCAGGAAGGAAGAAGGAAGGACAAGCTTTTAGTCACTAGACAAGAAATCCCCTGCCACAGCCACAGCCACACTGAAACCTCCTTAGTTTATAGCAAAGCCAGCAAGAGCCAGAAAGTCTAGCTCCCTGGCTTAGCCTTGCTGCTTGTCCTAACTGCCTCACCAGCCAATACCCTGAGGCCTGGCTGTCTTCCTTTCTGAAATTTCTACAGATGGGATACCCAGATTCACCTTTTCAGTGGTTCAACACAAGATCCAGAGGGGCTCAAGCAACTGTCGACCACCAGTCTAGACTCTTAGGGTGAGGACTGGAGCCAGAGTTAACAGCCAGGTCAAATGAGCACACCTTCAACATGCACGTACCACATGACTGAGACAGCCTGGAGACACTGGGAAGACCCTGAATGTAGCAACTTCCCAAAGCAGGCACTGACCTGGTGGCTCCTCCTGGAGCCACTGCCCGGGCATGCGAGGCTACCAGCAGCCTGCGTAGGATCTCCACACGAGTGGCTCTCCACTGCTCAGGGGGTAGAACATGCAGGGCCAGGATGGTGAAGTAGTGGGGCCCGTCTACATCGAAGGCACTCTCTACCCACTTCTCCTTGGGCTGCTCCAGGAAGCCTTGCAGGTTCTTTTCCTCCCGGGATGTTGCTCGAGTTCTATAGGAAAAGAATTCAGATGACAACAGGGAAGGGGCAGGGAAGGGACAAACAAGATAGCACTGGACAATCTTCTGGGATTGTACTTCCTACCACCTTCCTCTCTAGCAACCCAAGCCTTCTACCTGCTAAGGTCCATCACTGTGTCACTGTAACACAGTCCCCAACACCTCCTGGCTCTTGGACCAACTCTCCAATGCAGACTTGTCATAATTTTTCTAGAAGCCCAGGGAAGGGAGGTGACCTAACAAAGTCACCAAGCCAGTAAGCAACAGAGTTGAAGAATGGGTTCCCTGACATGGTCAACAGCCCACCTTCTCCATGAATCCCCTTATGCTGATGTGGTCTACACTGCATGTGCCCCGGGCACCCAGGCTCCCAGTGTGGGCTGTTTGCTCATGGCCTGTCCTCTCTTCCCATCATCAGCAAGTTCTTCCAGGCAGGCAGCTGCTGCCTGTCTGAACTGTGTGCCGATGACCACAACACACTGACTGACAGGCACGTGGCTTTTTTTATTTACTAGGCATAAGAAGCCCGTGAGACAAGAACCACCTGTCCAACTGTACAAGAGAACAGGCTATAGTACTAGGAACTAAGTGCCATGCCAAGCAAAGACTAGACTGAGGTCCTGGGCCTGTCATCAACTATACCCCTAGAGGCTGTCATCAACTATACCTCTTTCTCATGACAAGTCTTGCCGATGGCCAGGACCCACCCAAAGAGGCCAAGAATCTCCAGCAGTGTCCATATAACCTACTGGTACTCATTTATGAGGAGAAGACAAAACACCACCCAAAACCCCAGTATCCAGCTAGCATGGTCATAGTCACTGGCTATAGGGATGCAGGAGGATGGTATAAAGACACCCTGTAAATTGGGCATGCCCAGACCCAATTGGAGCCCTAACTAGTTCTCCATCCCTGTGGGGAACTTCAGACTTCTGGTCATGGCAGGCTCTTCTCAGGTTCAGGTTTAGCTCACTAGCACAGCAAATTTGCTTTTGTGTGTAAATGTCTCATCAGAGGCACAACTGCCTTATGACCAAGCTCATGTCACTGTCCAATGGCTAGCAAAGGAAGCAGCCCGTGGCTGAGAAGGAGGCCCTGCCTGTTCAAGGAAACTACAACAGAGGCAACACCTGAAGTCACCAGTTCCATCTGATGGGGTCAATCCTGTGAAGTGTTTTCCTCACTGGGTCACTGCCTGAGCAGTCCTCTCTAGCTTATGGCTACCAAGAGGCATGTTTCTGCAAAACCCTGAGCCTTTGTCAGGGCCCCAAGAACACTGGCAATTAGTACTGCTGGGGCCTGCAGCAGGGTCCAGACAGCAGAAGGCAATGCCAGGTGTCTCTTCTGACAGCCAGGGCGTTAGGCAGAAGGTGCCATGTGCTGTGAAGAGCCCTGCCCTGCAATTTAAAATGAAGCCTGCAGTCTCAAGGTCAGAATTTATCTCAGAAGGAAAAGGGAGGAAAAGAAAACCAAGTGTCAACAGGGAAAGGACAAGAGCTGACTGCCTCGGTACCTGATAGCATGGTAGCTTTGTGGGAGGACTATGCCCAGCCTTCCCATGGCTACCAGCACTGCCTACTAAAGCTGTGGATCTCAGGGAGAAGACAGGTCTGTACCCAGCCAAGTAAAATCCAAGAGTACAGGCACAGAAATATCTTACCGTGTTTCTAAGCCTGGCTGAGTGGGATGGCTTCTGCCTCCTCAGAGGCCTCTTTAACACCCCATTTCCAGCCTCACAGACACAAACAGCTCTTTCTCCCTGGCCGCATTCCTGTTCAGTTGCTTTCCCAATATTCAACACCCCCAGCTCCCATTCTTGCCAGAAGCGTTACTGACTGGCTGAGAAAGCCAAAGTTCCACTCGTGCATCAGCCTCAATCCCACCAGAAGCCTACAGCTATATCAGCTGTGTGCTCTGACTAATGACATGGTGCAACTCTCATCCATGGTCCTCATTTGAGTTTGAAAGTGGAGGAAGCAGCTTCTCCATCCCTGCTCCCTCTGAAGGCCAGCCCAAGACCAGAGTCCCTAGGTGCCCATAGTGGGGATGGGGCAGCTCTGCAAAAGAAGTCACTCACATTGCCACATTCTCTGCAACCCTCAAAACAGTGGATTAAAAACCCCTTCTCAGTAAAGGCTGGGGCATCTAGTTAAGCAGAGAGGGACCGAGAGTGTCAGTCAAGGTAGCACCCGGGGCCACAGGGTACTGACGTGTTCAGGACGTAAAGCACGGTGTGAATGATGTATGGGATCAGGTGGATGTTGCTCTCCCGGCCGCCCCCACCAGTGTCTGCACTGAATGACTGCTCCATGGCAAAGCGCAGGAAGAGCAGCTTGATGTCATGGATGTTGAGCTGGTACGTGGGTTCCCGCTGGCCCGTACATTCCTGGAGGTAAGTGTTATGCCTAGGGAGAAGCAGAACCAACATGACATGACAGACTCCCACCCCAGCCCACCCCACCCCCAGCTGCTTTCATAATTTAAACACTAGAGCTGCCGGGTAGTGGTGGTGCATGTCTTTAGTCCCAGCACTTGGGAGACAGAGGCAGCCTAGTCTACAGAGTGAGTCCTAGGATAGCCAGGACTATTACAGAGAGAAACTCTGTTTCGAAAAACAAAAAAGCAAACACTAGAGTCATAGACCATAGAAGTGAACTCTGGGAGATTTTGGCCCTGACTGAGGACTAAGTCAAAGGTCCTGAATATTATAGGAGGAGAGCTAATGAGAAATTTTATAGGGAACTCAAGAAACCAAGGATGCTGATTTCACCTCAGCAGGTCACTTTAGTCAACCCCATTCCTCAGCCCTATCTGCTCGGAACAGCTCTGTGGTCAATAAGCACAGATATGGATGCCCAATGAAGTGTTCAGGAAACGGCCCCCTTTCTGCTATTGAGACACTCAACACTCACCTTGCTAAGCAAGTGGCAAAAGCTGATTCAGGGACATGGGGGCCCCAGACTGGAAGGAGACCATTGCACTTCGTGTTGGCATTCTGTAGGGCAGCACTCTCCCACTCTTCTCGGCCTCTAGCCAATCTAGATGGGGACAGGGAGGAGAACAGGGACAAGTAACTGCTGGGATTAATCTGGTAATGAGGCACCTGATGCCGAGAGCCTGCTAACATTAGCCTAGGGAGAGAATTAGCCATTTATAAACTCTATAGATAAATTTTTGCTTCAATAATTAAGGCAAGCAAGACTGCTTCCACCAGCCTTGGCCAAGGCCAAACATTCAAAGCCAAACACATTTTCTCATATGGTTAAGTACAATTTATAGGTCTATGGGGACTAAGGTAGAAACACCTACAGCTTGAAGATAAGAAAAGCAGGCTTGCCAGTCAAGAGGTAGTAATGCACCCCTTTAATCCCAGCACTTGGGAGGCAGAGGCAGGTGGATCTCTGTGAGTTCGAGACCAGCTTGGTCTACAAGAGCTAGTTCCAGGACAGCCTCCAAAGACACAGAGAAACCCTGTCTCAAAAAAAGCCGAAAAGAAAAGAAAAGCAGGCTTAAAGCCCCAGAGTTAGTAACTCCAACCCCAGCAGCCCAGGCCCCTGAGCCAGGGCCCACTCATCTGAAGCAACACAGGTCCAGGATGGCTGGAGCCATTCTGCAAGAGCCAACACCTACCTGACAGCAGCTAGGTGACAGTCGTAATGCACAATGTTGAAATGGGACACAGTACTGTAGCCCTGCTGTTTCCGGGGCTTGTTCTCCATCTCCTCCAAAGCTACCCGTTTGGTGAAGGTGTAAATGCCTAAGACCTTTGTGGGCTACAAAGACAACACAGAAAGGGGGGTGAGGAGAAATCCCCAGTCCAGCTGTGCAAGGAGCTGACAAGACATGTAGAACTGAGCATCTCCCTTCAGATGGGTTTCCACGGGAAAGTGGTCACTCTGGTGTGCAAGCATCATTTGCTGCCATAAACTCACTTGAGGCTCAATTCCTGGGGGGGGGAGGGGAGGTGTCTAAGAGGTGATTAGGTTATGAAAGCCCCACTGTGGAGTTAACAGATACCTAGCAGGTCCCAGTATCCACTCTTGAACTTCCAGAACCGTGAGCTAAATAAACTGTGGTTTATTTATGTGTGGTTCTAGGAATGGAAGTGAGGGCCTTATGCAAGGCAGGCAAGCATCCTACCACTGAATTACACTCCCAGCCCCAAACCTCTGTTCTTATAAATAATTCAGTGTTGGAGTAGGGGGCAGAGAACCAAGCCTGGGCCATCTCTGTCTGTGCTTCATCTATCTAGAAAGGAAGCACAGTGTCTCCATGGTCACTTGCTTTACAAAGCTGCCAGATAGCTACATCAACCAGGACACCTGTCCTTCCACAGCCTATGAGCAAAGCAGGGCTGATGACAAAGAGGTCTCTCCTGGTACTGTCATAAAGCAAACAGGCCACCTTCCCACTGCTCCTTCCAGGTGTCACCTCACTTGGGCACACTTAAAAGTTGGGCTCTAATCGCTCATAGTTATCCTGAACAGAAGCAATGCAGTATGACTTGAAGTCCCCAGGCCTGAGGTTAGCAGAAACTCAGCTGGAATTCTGGCCTCCCCATGTGACTGTCACATTCCTACCCATCATCTGGGGCCTTTGTTGGGCGGTGGTGGCGCACGCCTTTAATCCTAGCATTCGGGAAGCAGGGGCAAGCGGATCTCTGTGAGTTCGAGACCAGCCTAGTCTACAAGAGCTAGTTCCAAGACAGCCTCCAAAGCCACAGAGAAACCCTGTCTCGCAAAACCAACCCCCCCCCCAAAAAAAAAACCTGGGGCCTTAAGACAAGTGCCAATGATGCTCATGCTTAGATGAATTTGCCTTCCTGCCTACAAGGCTAGCAGCTGGCCCTTGTGTCAGACCCCCAAAGCACAAGCCTATCTCAGTACAAAATGGCTTGCAGGAGACCGGCATGTCTAGACACAGAGCCAGGCTGTGCTACCAACAGCCAGAGCAGGTGCAGCCACATGCTGCCCAGGAGCCCTACCTGGAATTTGTACCCCTCCCTGCAGATGCAGCAGGTGAGGCCCGGCTCCTCTATCAGCTCTTCCATCTGCTTCAGGAGTGCAGTCTTGGTCACCACCTGGCCCTTCTCGTTTGTCTAGAGGGGAACACAGGCAGCATGTCATAGGAGGGTTTCCATATGCCTTCTCACCGTGGCTTGAGAAGACCACACACACACAGAGACAGACAGACAGACAGACAGACAGACAGACAGACAGACAGGAACGCTATGTGGAGAGGAGAGCCCTTCCTCTGTGCTGAGAGGGGTGGAACTATAGGGTCTTGTCAGCCTTGGCTAGTGGCAAGCACTCTACCACTAAGCTATACACCTGCTGTCTCCATTGCCTTCTATTGAGGGAAAGCCTCAGGATTTGTTCAGGAGCCATCAAAGCAGAGGATACCAAGCAGTGGGAAGCTGGCTTGTTGCCATGTTGCCACTTGTTATCAAAAAGCCCCTTTGGTCTGTGCCAGCCCTACTATGTCTCAGTTGCCAAGGGCTGCTGTGTTCTGATCATTTACTGTTCCCAGCAAGCCTCAAACTGCTGACACACGAGTTTGCTTGTTAAGACAAGGCTCTTCCAGGGCCACCATTTCCTCCAAAGTAGGACAACAGAGCCCTTTGTGTTGATCATAACCTGTTCAAAGTCCTGCCCACACTTAGTAGCTACATGCCATGGCCAATGTGTTTCACTGTTTTTATCTGAAAATGCATATAACAATGTCAAGCCACAGGACCACTTGAGGGTTTAAATATATCTTATATGTGAGGTTCTTGCAGTGTCTGGCATGGAGCAAATTCTGGATATACAGTATTCAGTATTTCCACTTTACTCCATGTCCCCGAGTGTGGTATGGCAGTGGCCACATCTAGAAGTGCCCAGCAACAGCTACCTCTGCCTCTTCCCCTGTGCAGTCCTCACCCCATCATGCCCAGCATGGCTGGGAAGCACATTAGTCTGCCTGTGGGGCGCCTTGTCCATTGGAGACTTAGCGAGGAGGCTTTACCGTCATGCCCAGAGTGCCCAGAGCCTTCTGCCTCATGGCCATGGCCATGCGCTTCTTCTCTGCTCGGGTCTCCCTGCGGGCTGCATCAATCTTCTTGTTCACATCAGGGTGTTCTCTCAGGGCCTCCAGCAGGTTCTCAGCCAGGGTACCAATGCCCTCGTCACTGGACACCTGCTCTAGTTTATGCAGGTTTGTGATGGAGTCGGTTCCAATCAGAACCTGAAAAAGAGAACCAGTGAGGTTTGTGTATCTAAGAGCGGAGGCAGTCTTCCATCAAGGCTCAGTCACAGCCTTTGACCATCTGCTAACATGCACAACCTGTCCAGTTATGGAAGGAGCCTGTCACCCAGGCTCAGTCTTCACAATCAGTCCAAGTGTGCAAGCTTTTGACACTGGCTTCATAGGGGTGAGAGCCTGAGATTTGCCACTGGAAAAAAAAAAAGAAAATGCAACTGGTGGATTTGGCTTTGCCAGTGACCTCTAACTAGTCCCTCTAGTCATTAGCTCAGTTATTCTCACACAAAATAAACGTGTCACGGGAGCGTGTCACGGCAGCTGTAAGGCTGGAGAGTGAGATGGCATGTGAAGCACTGTGCTGTGAGGGGAGCCAAAGAGAGCTGCTTCAGCTAAAACAGTGGAAGCATTGGGCAGGGCCTGCAAGGAGCATCCCGGCAGAAGCCCTGAATTCACAGGAACACCCTAAGTTCTGTTATATGGGTGTCTGCAGCCATCAAACTGGTGGCAATTCACCCAGTGTACAAAATTCTAGCATGTGGGAGCGGAGATGACAAAAAAATTAGACAGCTATCAACTCTGTGCTTTGGCAAAACTGGCTTCAGGGCCCCGTGGCATCTGACAGGAGCTGAGGCAGATGCAGTAGAGAAAGACCTCCAGGTGAGCTCAGTGGGTGGTCTGCAGCATCACTGAAAGACTCACCATCTAAGCCAGTGGTGGGATTTACCATACATGTGATGAAAAACTGAAAACAGAGCCAACTCCAGAGGTGAAAGCTTGAGTTGTTTGCCTCAGATCACTCACTAACTCGTAAATCCACCCTCACTATAGGAACACTGCAAACCCACACCTCAGCAAAACTGCATGTTATCTCATGCCTCGTGTTCCTAAATGCTGAGTGAGTCCATGTTTAAGACCTAGCAAACTTTTCCACAGGCACCCACACCCCAAACTCAACACCTTAAGTGTTTACTGTGAGCAGTACACGGACAGACGTGTGTGAAGTAGGAGTAGGGAAACTGCAAGACCTTGTCCACATGAAACTCACACACGAACAGGAAGGGCGGCACACACATACAGGACCTGTTTACCATCCATCTTCTCTATCCTCAACCCAGTCCATCTCCTGACGAAACAACCATTCCCTTCATCACTGAACCAAAGGACTAGGTAGAGTTCTAAAGTTACCAAGCCCTTTCTCTCTCCAAATCCCAGTTAAACCCCTGCCAGGTCTCTGCTGAGCCCATTCACTATGTAGCTCAAGCCACCACTGGCCGGGCATTTGTTCACCCAGATCATGACAAAAGCCCAGCACACATTCATCATCTTTCCAGCTTCTTGCAGCATGCATGGCACTGCCCTTAGAGGGAGATCCATCCTCCTAAGCTGAAAATAATGGTTTCACCCCTGTAATGAGAGCTAGGGCAGGGAGTTTGAGGCTAGCCCAAGTTTCATAGGGAAGATTTGGCCAGCTTGGGCTGCACAGTAAGATGTGTGAAGAACCATCACATGTTGCCCTTGGCCACATTACAGTTGTTCCTTGGTATCCTATGCCAATACAGCTATTACAAGGAGTGAAAACAATGTGTGCAAAATCTTACTGTGATTTTGGGGACCCTCCCTGGGGAGCAGAAGGGGGATGAGGTGGGGGGCTGGTGGGGAGAGTGGTGGGAGGGGAGGGAGAGGGAGAAGGGATTGATGTGAAGCAAGCTTGTTTCTAATTTGAACTAATAAAAAATCTTACTGTGAAGGCATATCAACTGTGGCTATCTACTGGATTGAGACAAAGTCTAGCAGCAAAAGAGATTTGAGTAAGACTTTCACTATATGACTGAGTCACTATACTTCTGAGGTGAGTTATCAAGAACAGGCTGCCAAACACGAATGCAGAACTATATTCAATGCAGAACATTATAAAAAAAAATTAATTAACTCCATGGATTCTCAATCAGCATTAAACCTTATACCATCCACCTAGAAAATGGTGAGACACAAGAACCATTTCATGCAAAAGACACAGACGAAGCACAGGAAAGGCAGTGTAGCATCAGAAAGCATCAGAGAAATGCAAGTCAAAACCACAGCCAGGCACCACCACACTGGGCAGAGTGGCCAGGGTAAAAATAGCCAGCAAGTGCAGCAAAGACAAGAGAACTGGGCCACTAATGCACTGCTGCCAGAAATGTAAAGCGGGTCTGCTACTCTAGGAGCCTGGCGGCTTCTTTTTATAACTGGTGTGTGTGATATGTCAATGTGAGTGCAGGCACATGTGTGGAGGGCAGAGGAAAACTGTCCCAGCCAGTCTCCTCCCTCCACTGTTGTATGGATTCCAGAATGTAACTCAGAAGGTTAGGCTGGCATGCTAAGTGCTGAGCCGCACTGCTGGCCTGGCAGCTTCCTATAAGCTAAACATGTAGCTACTACCCCATCAGCAACTACCCACCAGCCACTACCCACCCCACTAGCCACACACTTTGGGGCATTTGCCCCAGAAAATAGTATCTGCCCCTGAATTTCACATCAGCTTGGTAAGTGATGCCCCAAATGGGAAACAACTAGTTGCCTTTTAACAGGTGGGTAGTTACAGAGTGAGATGTATCCCTATGGTAGAATACTGCTCAGCAATAGAAAGGACACAAAACATGTACAATGACCCACAAGAATCTTCAGAAAATCCCGATGAAGAGAAAAAGCCAATCCTAAGGTTACATGGGTCCATGTTTGCGACATTACAGAAATGGAGAGCTCAGCAGGGGTTTGTGGGAGGGGCACAAAGGAATGTGGACACTATGTAAGGGCAGAAGAGGAACTCAGTGCCAAGGTCACTGTTGGTTTTAATAGTTGTCAGCTGCCTCAGGCAGAGCAGGAAACAGTGTGATGGTGCTTCAAATATCCAAGTGACTGAGCTGGCCCTCAACCTGAACTGTCAGCCAGAATTCTCACTTCAACTGCAGCATGCCGAGCCCCGCTTAAGACTGTGGAACTCACACTGCACACACAGAGCTAGAAGAGCTGATGGTTCCTCCTACCCTAGAAGCCTCATTCAACAGGGCAAGCCACATTATGGGTGACTTGCTGGTTGTACACAGATGGTTTATGACTTCCTCCTGTTACCTGTCCTTCCTGAAGAATGAGGTCCACAGACATGCTGGTCACTCACCTGGGTGGCAGGGTGCTGCATGGCCAATCCCCGAAGAAGCCTCAAAATAAATGGCAGAGCAGGGCGAGACAAAAACTTTTTCCAGATGTCAGCATCCAAACTGCAAAACAGACAAGGGCACATGAGCAACCAGGAAGCAATGCTGAAAATCTGCTGCTGAGTCTGACTTGTTTGGGGTAATGTAATGTAATGAGGGGTCACTAAGGCCAAATCCAGCTGAGAAGCCAGATAAAGATGAGCACTTGACAGAAGTAGAAAAGCGCCAGGACTCTACAGTATCTGACTGGCCACTGGACAGGTCCCCAAAAGGGGGAGGGGCACAGGGCACACAGGAAGCACCACATTAAGATATTGAGAAAAACGGCAATGTACAAGGAGGGTGCACAAAGCCCCAGGGAGGGGGCCTTACTTTTTGGCACTGGGGATATGCTTTTTCATGTAGTCTAGAGCATTCTGGGTGATTCCCTTCTGCAAGATGAGATCCTTCAGCTGGTGCCCATTGCTATTGTTTTTGATACCGGCAGCAATTTTGCAGAAACAATCCAGGAAGACTTTGTCATCCCCACTGTGGTCTTCATCATACCTAAAGAGCATATAAGGTTCCAGCATGAAGGCAGAGCTCACATCACCCTCTTGGGTAACAACTAGGTGAACCACCTAGAGGATCCAGTCTAAACTCCTACAGGGAAGGAGACCTCAGACCAGGACCCTGCCACTCTCCCCTTGCCTATCCCTATGCCTTGTTCTTTTTCATCTTCAGGCTTTTGCAAATGCAGCTCCCCACACCTTGTCAGGTCTTTCCTCGGCTCTCATACCCTTCCCATACTGCTTTAATATAATGTGGTTTGGTGACCGTTACCCCACTAGATAAAGTCCCTAAAATTCCAGATCACAGACACAAAACACTCAACAGAAACCCAGGTGACTTGCTCAGCCTCACAAAGCAGGCTTGGGATTTCTGGAGCATTCCCCCTCCAGGGGAATGCTGTATCAAACTCCAGGCTCGTACTTATCGAAGCTACAGTATGGCTTGAACCGTTCCACCAGGATCTGCATCTTCTCCACCTCTCCGAAGGACAGGTATGGGATGATACGCAGCAGGCCCTGGAGTACACTGGGGTTGGAGCGAACAAAGGTGCTATTGATCTGGTCCAGGAGCATCACCAGTTGATCCTTGTCACCCGTGAGGAGGAGGTTGCCCTGCAACAGAAGAGGATGGAAGTTAGGATGCGGGCTGCAGCCAAGAACTGACCCCTAAAGTCAGCTATTCTCATCAGACAGAACTGTTCCTCAGTACTTGCTGGGGAATAATAAGCTGCCTGGAATTCCATTGATGAGCTTTCAAGCTGCTGTGAGGGCTCTCAAGTAGCCCAACTACACCAATGCAGGCCTGCTCCCCAGGAGAATGGAGACTGCTAGACACTACTGGGGGCACAGGCCTAGCCCAATCACCAACCCCAGAAGGCAGGAAGTCCAGGTGCAGAGGAGAGAATGCATCAGTCATGTCACCTCACAACTGTCAAGTGAAGGGTTGAACTATGGCACTGCCTATTCATCCAGGTTATGCCTGGGTTCCATTAATGAGCACCTTCAGACTGAAAGAACATCCTTGGCAGCTTTGTTTCCCCTGAATGTAAAGGTCTCAGGCTCAGCACAATTGACATCACCCTGAGTAGAGAGTGTCCCAGTGTCTATGTGCAGAAGGACCAGGCCCCACTCACCTTGTCCTCACTCAGGGGCTCTGCATTGGACTCATCTAGAATGATCTCCATGATGCTCAGCACTTGCTCAGCCACAGCTGCTCCTCCACTGTCCTTGCTCTCTTGTTCAGCCACCAGAGCCTGAAGGAGGAGACCCAATGACCCTCAGGATATAATCACAGCCACTCATTTCTGGTGACCTCTGCTGCCTTCCATGGTCTTGGGGGGGGGGAGCGAGGGGGAGAAGGGGTGAGCGAGAGAGTGTCTGAGATAAACAGAGTGAGTGTCACAGCCACTCATTTCTGGTGACCTCTGCTGCCTTCCATGGTCTTGGGGGGGGGGAGCGAGGGGGAGAAGGGGTGAGCGAGAGAGGGTGAGAGATAAACAGAGTGAGTGTGTGAGAGAGAGAGAGAGAGAGAGAGAGAGAGAGAGAGAGAGAGAGGCACTACCTTCTTGCAGTGTTGGGCCTGTTCTACCGACTTCTGCTCCTGGTCTCAAATCTGCACTCAGCAAAGGGATCGGAAGCTCTGAGGTGCCATGAGAGCAGCATGAGTGTGAGACATCAGGAGAAGAGTGCTGAAGGACCAGGCCTAGAGCTGAGCTCTCACTTAGGACCATCAAACCCCCATCTTCATCATCTGTGGCCTGCATTCTTACCAAGTTTAAAGTCCCCAGCATGACATTCAGAGTGTTCATCTCCAGCTTGACCAGCTGCTGTCGGTTGACTTTAACCTTTACGCAGTAACTAAACAGCTTCAGCAGCACCTGTGAAGAAGAACCGGCTCAGACCCAGAGAGCGAGTACCCACGTGTGTAAAATGTGCAAGGCATGAGTGTCAAAGAGGACACCTCAGTCAGCAGATACTCCTCCTGAAGTGCAAGGAGAGGTGACCAATAAACGGCATGGTAAGGTGGCTGGGCTCTCATACCAGGCCAGCATCTTAAGTGGCAGCATTCTCCAGAGTTCCCTCTATATCCCTACATGATGGCAGTGACAGTGCTTCTTGACAGATTAAATGGTGTCCACCATTCTGGGGAAATCCAGCACCAACCAAGACTCTTAGCTAGTGGCAGACAGAACATCCCAACACAGGCAGCCTACGGAGGCCAAGGACCAGGTAGACCATTTAAATGACACAAGAGTATCTGTCCTCACACACACCCCAGAAGGTAAAGGTACTAGTGAAATCTCTGTGGTGCCACTGGAACACCCTGACTAGTGAGACAGATGACCCTCCAAACAAAAGCCTATGACACAAGAGCAGTTATTAGGGGAAACAGCTATTGGTTCCTCTGACACCTAAAGAGACACTGGAGAAGACTGCCACCACCCCGGTTTTTAGGTGGACTGGGCAGGAGGAAAGCAGTGGGAGGCTTAGACCCCAAAGGTTCGGGGAAACAGCAGGTCATTCACTGGCTTGCACTGGTCTCTGTTGCACCACACTGCCCCCTAGTGTCAAGTGGCTCAATCACCACAGCTTTGTGTGGTGGTTTCCACCATACTGCCCACAACTCACTGTTAGAAGGTGTCGTCCCTGCTTAAAGTCTTTGATTCCCGCCAGTCTGTTAAGCATGCATTCCAGACCTCCACATTGGGCCATCACACTGGCCATCTTGTATACTTCTTCCTCATCTTCTTCTTCATCTGGGAGAAAAGGGAAATGAGAAGACAAACTGAAAATGGAAGTAAGAGGATCAAAATACACAACCCTTTCCTGGGCTGAGTATATGGCCCTTCCTGGATCTGGAATAAAGGTCATTACCTATATGCTCTCACTCGCATAGGAGCTTCGCTCAAAGTTTAAGTCAATTAACATTTTCTGCTATTACAACAAAGTACAAGCAAATACTTTTTCGATGGAACAGAGAGCTAAGGCAGAAAGAATTCTGAACTCAAGTCTGCTAACTGTATCTTCTCCCTTAACATCTTGAATGTTTTCTTCAAATTCAAGTCAGGTCATGGATGCCTGTCTTTTTCCCCTATAACTGTGATGCAGAGCACAGGCTATTGTCCTCTGGGACATGGCTGCTCTGGCCGGAAGTCCAGTATGCAGTGCCGTAAGTGGAGAGAGCCGTACCTGTGGTGGAGTCCAGGGACTCAATGAACTCCTCAGTGGCATCACCCAGTAGCCCCCGCATTCGATAAACAATCCTCATGGGCTCTCCCTAAGCAAAGCAGAGTAATGTGGAGAGGTAGACTTAAAAACGGGCCCAGAAAAAAAAGTCTTCACCCTTGGACTTGGTTAACGCCTTGGTGACATAACCCTCCATTTCTCTAACTCACAGAGGTGGAAGAGACTCATTTTGTTCAGTGTGCTGCAGGCCTGGAATTGTGAAGCACCATAGACTTGATCCTAGTTGATGTCATTAAAATGCTAGGTAAGCACTCTGACAACTAGTCTCCAAGTGTTTTACTCTGTGCTGAGTCCTTTGCTGATTAGGCACAACTGTCCAACTCAGGTTGGACAGCCTGCTTGCCTAGGCTAGAAGTGGAGGACCAATTCTAAGCTTGTGCCCAAGTCAGGAGGAGCTCTCTCTACCCACTGGGGCCCACAACCCAAAGGATCAGGACAAACAAGTATATCTGGATCAAAGATACACTGGTTCAACTTTCAGGAACAGAGAGTAAGCACGTGAGTCTTCCTATGTATGGACAGACCGCAGTCTTCATGTACCACACAATAGGGAGGGTTCATCCCAATCACCAAACTGACACCCAGAGCCTGGAATAGTCAGGAAGGAGCTGCTGAAACAGTCCACCTGTGCCAGGTACCATGCTGGGGACCCTAGAGGTCCAGCCTCAGTTCAGAGGTGAGACACAAAGGTGCCAGGTCACTCATGACTCCTCGAAGCTAACTGGCCTACATTAGTTAAATGCCTCCCAAGCTGTCAAGATGATGGATTTTCTTCACACCCAGAAAGAAAGTAAAACTATGGTAAATACACTCCAGCCAAGATTAACAGCAGTTCTCTACTCGGCCGGTTCTTAAGGCAGAAAAGGCGGCCTACCCACAGCTCATGGAGAGAAAGCAAACACATACCTCATTCGTGGTACACCAGACCTTCTTGTAAACCTCGGCCACAGGAAGGTCCAGGCTGATAATTTTATTGTTCACTAACAGCTGAAAAGTAGAGGAGGTGATTACTACAGGTAACTGTATGTAACTCCACATACAGGGTGAAGGTGCCTAGGTAAAAAGGGCTCATGGGCTACACTTGTCATTACAGGGCTCTGAAAACACTTACACTCTAGGTGAAAATGTATGTGTGTGCACAATGTTAGAGAGAAAGACCCTTAACCCACCATGGACTCCAGCTTTGACCTGACTGAAGACCTTTGACCTTGAGTCCTTTTCAGGCTGAGTACTAGAAAAACCACCTTTGCCTTTAGTCACACAGACGGTTAACACCAGACTTGAGAAGTCATCTGCTAGAAGTGTAAGGTTCAGGGTGTTAACAGGGGATATGACCCATATACTAGAGTCAAAATGCCAGGGTTCTATCCTGGACCTTCTAGAAAACTGCCAGAAGCAACAGTAACAAAATCCTATCATCACTCCAAGAAACAACCATCAAGCTGTCTCCTGTTTCATGCCAGGAACTAGGTAGAGCCCTCCATGGGTCAATAACCTTACCAGCAGGAGAGGCAGGAGATAGGACCATTAGTCTCACTTTTACAGACTGTCTGACTTCCTACCTGGTTAACCAGTGGCTCACAAGAAACACCCAGCTGCGACTCAGCCCATGCTGCTGGTGAGTGACCAGCACAGCCATTTACCTCCATCCCACTGTCATCCTCCAGAAGAGCCACCAGGTCACAGTCCTGGCAAATCTTGTTCTTTATGTCCCTCATAAGAGGCCCAATGCCTGGCTCATTGCTGCTATACGGGTTTCCGGGCATCCTGCCCTGTAGAAAGTCCTCTTGCTGGGGATCCTTCTCCAGGGTCACAAAGAACTCGGTGACTTCATTCTCCTCCTAAAGGACAGAAAAAGGGATGTATCAGAAGGGACAGCACAAAGGATTTATAGCACTGACCTGTTCTGTGGGCACCAGGAGGGAAACACAGCAAGTGCAGCACACGCTTACACATTAAAGGACAGATGGTCCTGAGATTCTAAACACGACACACGCTCTTCACATCTTAACAAGGAGAGACAGCATAACAGAACAAGGAGACAAGGAGCAAAGTGCTATCTGGTGAGAGGTAGACCAGTCTGAGGCCAGGCGAGATTCAGAGCAGAGAAGGGGTTTCTCTCTGTGACACACTCAGGCAAACCAACCCCAATGGTCTTCCATCAGTAACTGAAGATACTGGTATTTCCCTCAACAATTAGAAAAGTTGCTGGAGGGCTGGAGAGATGGCTCAGAGGTTAAGAGCACTGACTGCTCTTCCAGAGGTCCTAAGTTCAATTCCCAGCAACCACATGGTGGCTCACAACCATCTGTTATGAGATCTGGTACCCTCTCCTGGTGTGCAGATATACAGGGAAGCAGAATGTTGTATACATAATAAATATAATTAAAAAGAAAAAGAAAAAGGTCACTAGACCAGACCATAGGAAAGACATGCAAGTGGCAAGCATGCATAACCCAAGGTGCAGAAGAGAAGGAGGAAGAGTAACAATACACCCAACTCTACACCACCAGAACTGCTGCCGCACCTGCAATGGGTTGCTTGGCCTCCTTGCATTAGAGGAGGGGAATTAGGAAGCTGCTTCTACTTTTTGACAGTGGACCTGGTGATAATGATACTAAATAGCCCACAATTTGGGAGCTGCTGCTGCTGCTGACACCTGTGGGTTGTGGGGAACAAGCATGCTGCTTACGGGGTAGATGATGCTGCACAGCCTCTCAAAGATGAACACAGGAGTCCGGTAGTCATCCAGATTGTAGCGCTTGGCTGTCTCAATGCACACAGCCATGAAGGCCTTGGTTTCAGACTCTGTACCTGCCAAAAGCAAAGTGGCCAAGTGAGTCAGGAAAAACGCTTTAGCTGAGAGAGTGAAACACCATCACCACCAGGTGTTTTCTGCCTGGTAGGTTTCCGAATGCTCTACATGGTAACATCAGTAGTTTCTATTGAGAAATACTACTACATCACGGTTAGCTGTGTGCTTTTCTGCTCTCTCTGGGAGCACAACCTCTCTGATCTAGCATCCCTTCCCCAAAACAGGTTCTCAAAAGCACCAAAGGACTTCTCTCTTGGGTAGTCAGACAGATGAGGCTCGCTAGCTGAACTCCCCACACCCAACACTTGGAAGCAACTTCAAATTGTCAGTGAACTGCTACACCAGTGAAGAACAAAAGCCCATAGAAGTCAGGGCCCAGAGAGAAGCAATCACAGCAGTTAGGGTCTTAAGCTTTAGTTTCCATAGCCTGCCAGGATCTGAGTGCTGGCTGGATACAGAGGCCTGACTCAGTAGAGATGGGGAGACAGCAGGAAGTACCTTGCACCCTCCGGCCACCCCACACCTGGTCCCTTAGCAACACAACCAAGCTCTCAGTGTGAAGATCAACTAGAAACTACTTTCTCTTTTCTCCACTCACGCAAATGAAAGCAAACTGTTCTTTACAAGAATGGCAATGAGTGGGGGGACAAATATGAGAGCTAAGGAGCCACCCCCTCCCACATGTGTGGCACCCAAACTTCACACTACCACAAAGTCTGAGAAAGCTAAATGAGGCATGCCACAGTAAGCCTGGGGGTCCTTACAGAGACAGCAGTCATAGACCCACCTGGAGAAGACCTGCTTGCACAGGGCCTAAGACAACGCTCCTTTCCTCTGCTTTTATTGGTTTTCACTAATGTCTGTGTGTGGATCTGTATGTGCACGTGTTTGAAGTATAGGCACCTTCAGAGGCCAGAAGAGGGTGCTGGATTCCTTGGGAGCGGAGTTACAGGTGGTTGTGAGTGATGGGGAATGTACTACTGTGTATGTTTATCTTATTGATTGTTAAATAAAATACTGTTTGGCCAATGAGACAGCAAGTTAGGCAGGACTAGGAGTCAAAGAGGATTCTGGGAAATGTAGTAGAGAAGTGGTGATCCATGCAGGAAGTGACATAGCAAGGAGACTCTATTTAAAGAAGGAGAAACAGGAAGCGTCCCTTTTTTCCCCTCCGCTCCTGCTCCAGCGGCACAAGGTGATCCACCGGCAGGGAGGGACGCCAATAAGGCGTCTGATAAGATAAGTCTTTTTAAATATATAGGTTCATGATAGTTAAGACTGAGCTAATAGATGAGAATCCTAGCCATTTGCAAAGCAGCATTGTACCTAATACAAGTTTCTGTGTATTCATTTGGGCCCTAACTCAGGCGGGCGGTTGGCGTAAAGCTCACACGTGGCGGTGGGGCTCGGGCGGCTTTTGGCGGAAAGATTCATCATAACTTGTGAGCTGTGCTGTAACCAAACTCAGATCCTCTGCAAGAGCTCTCAAGCACTCAGCATGCTCAGGCTCCTCTCTTAGTGGATTTTTGTTTTTGTTTTTTTGTTTGTTTTGTTTTTTGAGACAGGGTTTTTCTGTGTAGCCCTGGACTGTCCTGAAACTCACTCTGCAGACCAGGCTGGCCTCAAACTCAAAGACCCCTCTGCCTCTGCTTCCCAAGTGCTGGGATTAAAGGTGTGCATCACCACTGCCTGCCCTCTCTTAGTTTTATGAGGTGGGGTTTTGTCATGTAACCCAGGTCAATCTTCCTGCCTCAACCTTCCAAGTACTGGATAATAGGCAGGTGCCATCATTCCCAGCTTCTAAAGAATTTCTACAATAAACTCCAGAAAACCATAAAATACCACCATCTAGGAAGCAGAAAGGCAAACAGAAGAAATAGGCCACGGGGAACTTTAAACTTAGAGTTACGCATAAATGTTTCAGAAGCTTCAAGATTATGAGAAAGTTAAGAAATGGTAAGTCTCAGCCAGGCGGTGGACCGTGCATGCCTTTAATCCCAGCACTCTGTAGGCCTCAGTGAGTTCAGGGGCCAGCCTGGTCTAAAGACTGAGTTTGAGGCCAGCTAGGGCTACACAGAGAAACCCTGTCTCGGACCCTTTCCCACCAACCCCCAAACAAAGAAGAAATGGGGAGTCTCTCGGCTACAAAATCTAGAGCTCTAAGAGAACAGTAGACTAGTAGGATAAACAGTGCTGAAGAGAGACAGGATGCAGTAGCTATGCAAGGAAAAGGTATCGAGAACACAGTAAGGCCACTGACATAAAAAATGAGAACATTCCAGGTGACTGAAGACAGCCTAAGACTGAGCTCAACCCAGGGAAAGTATACAGCTCTAGGGCTGTAACACTGAGAACCACAGTGCTCTTGAGATGGGCTTCTTTCTCCAAATGTGGGATTCGTCACTCTTCCTCTGGTACTGTGACACTCAGAGACAATACACATGTGCACCTCACCGGCTCCAAGCTGTCAGGTGGGGTTACCTGTGGTCATGTCCTCCAGCATCTCCAACAGCATGTCTTGCGTCTCGTCAATAAGCTTGGTCCTCTGCAGCACTAGCTTCCGCAAGCACAGGTACCCATTCAGCACAGTGCCTACCAGGCGGCTCTTAAAATGCCTTTTGATGGACTCCACCTCTACAAAGGAGGAGAGAAGGCCTGCGGGACAGGGAAAGCATGCTGTAATCTCTAGAAGAGAACACGGAAGGCCTGTGCCCATCCAAAGAAAGGAGAATATTAAAAAGCAAGGAAAGGCCGGGAGGTGGTGGCGCACACCTTTAATCCCAGCACTCAGGAGGCAGAGGCAGGCGGATCTCTGCGTTCGAGCCCAGCCTGGTCTACAAGAGCTAGTTCCAGGACAGCCTCCAAAGCCACAGAGAAACCCCGTCTTGAATCCCCCCCCCCAAAAAAAAGCAAGGAAACTCTTCCTTTGCACATGGCACAGGGCAGATGCTCAGTGAAGAGCTCAGAAGTGCAGGCCCATCTACAAGGAGAAAGTCCCAGAGGAGGCAACTGGCACCCAGGAGCAGAGGCTTAGGCCTAAGGCATACACAAGACACCCAAGGGAAGGGCCAGGTGGCTCTCTTACCTGTGAGACTTTTGAGGGCATAGCCCTGCTGCAGGTCTGTGCTCAGGGTGGCCTCCTCCAAGGCCAGCAAGCGGGCAATTTCCTAAACAGGATGGCAAGCACAGTGTGATGGGGCCACCTCTACTGCCATCCATGATGTAGCACCAACCAAAGGTGCTCAAAAGTTCGTTCTAATCCTCAAAAAATGCTTTTCCAAGAAGCCAAAGATGGCTGAAATACTGCCGAGGCACTGTTTAACCCTGAAACAGCTGAAATGCCCCCAACAGACTGCCACAGCTATTCTAGCTACAGTAAAGTCTGGAAAATAACTATTTTCAACAAATGCTTCTTCTCAGAAAACAAGAACCATACAAAAGTTCCTTTCAAAGTAGAGAAAGTACTGGGGGAGGGACAGATCACCTTGGTGATGAGGTTGCCCACATAGGGCAGGACTCCCCGAGCAGCCAGGTAGACTTTCCAGTGACATGAGGCGATGAGCTTCTGGTAGAGAGCCAGGTACTCTGCAGCACACTCCCCAGCTACACTTAGCTCGTCCAGGTAACTGCACCAGAGACAGGGCACCCTTAGAGACTAACATCCAAAGAGCCCAGGAGCTTCTTCCTCTGCATCTACTGCTCAGCCTCTCTCCTCTTGCTCTTCGAGATGGATGGAGGGCATCTGAGAAACCTCACACTTCCCTTGCTAAAAGTATTCCCAACACTTCAGGGAATGGCTGCCAAGACTCAGGAATACCTGTGTCTCTGTGCTCACTGCCAGAGAACAATGAGTGACAATGTTTGTGCTCAGAGGCTCTCAACAAACAACCACTGCTGTTTTACCACCAATACTCCTAAAGCTCTGTCTAGTTTCTGTAGCAGGGACCAAGATGGTTTTATACCACTTAAGAGTGCATCCCAACCCTGACCTGTGTATTCATCAGAAAAGAAGGAAAAGGCTTTTCCAATTATGCTAGCCACTGTCCCCACCCACCCTCACATGGTACCTGGTGAGGAGGTCAAGGACCTGCTGCTTGCGGCTGGGAACAGTAGCAAGAGCTTCCACGATGGTACACGCTGCCTGCCGTGCCGCCTGCGTTGCTGGGGTAAAGAGTACCTGCCAGACACAGGAGAGGAAATGGGGCTGGCTCAGAGGCCACCCTGTTTTTGTAAGCCCAGAGCATGAGCTGACTTCTGGAAATCTCTCTGGGCACAGTGGTCCACACCACAAGTTAACCCACTACCCAGTGGCTGCAGACTGAGAAAGGCTGCTAAAGAGTTTCCCTGCTTCACAGAAATTTCTCCAAGCATCTTGGAGAATACATCTGTCCCTAGTTAGCATTAACTGTCAACTTGACAAAGCCCAAAATCCCCTCAAAAGAGCCTCAATTGAGCAACTGACTTTATCAGGTTGGTCTGTGACCATGCCTATGAGGGATTGTCTTGACTGTTAACTGACAGAGGAGGGCACAGCATGCTACAGGTGGCACGATCCCCAGGGCAGGTGGTACTGGGCTATATATAAAAAAGCTATATATAAAAAAGCTAGCTAAGGATGACCTTGCAAGCAAGCAAGCAAGCCAGCAAGCAGTGTTCCTCCATAGTTTCTGCCCTGACTTCTGTCACTGAGGGACTGTCACCTGGATGTACCACCCAAATAAATCTGTTCTTTCTCAAGTTGCTTCTGGTCAGTGTCTATCACAGCAACAGAAGGAAACTAGAACAGTACTGAATATAAACAAGGGTGGAGAAATCAAATAAGCATTCTCATTGGTAGGTCCTTGAGAGTTCTCCCTTGGGGATACCTTTCAGCTGATTAGCTCTTGCTTAGCAACAGACAACAGAGAACTTTTGAGGGGAAGGGTGGAGGTGGTGGTGGTTTGAGACAAGGTTTCACTATGTAGCCTTGGCTGGCCTGGAACTTGCTATGCAGACCAGGCTGGCCTCATACTCTTCAGATCCACCTGCATGTGCCTCCTGGGTACTGGGATCAAAGGCCTGGCTATGAAGTTAATTCTTTCAAACTCAGCTAGAAGGAGGGAAAGAGCAGTGGCCCTCAGTATCAGAAGGCAGCAAGGAGAATGAATGCAGGCACTGGGTTGCTCCTCTGAGGGAATGGGGTAGGATGTCAGTGAGCACAAACAGCAGAGGACGGCTGTTTTGACCTGTCCCTATTGGTGGCTGTACTCAAGAACTTGTATTTGAAAGGAAGTGAATAACAGGAAATGAAAAGCAGAGACAGAAGGGCAGAAACTGGCAGGTGCTCACCTGCCGCAGCCAGTTGTTGTGACCCAGCTTGAGGTCAAGAGGGGTGGTCCTCTTTCCCCGCCGGCTCAGGAACTGCTTCCATCGCCACACGTACTTCTCGGTCAAGTAGAGACGGTGGAGCTCTGACTTGCTGGGAGACTTCCCGTTGCCATCTACACCTGCAAGGAAAGGTGGCAGGCAGGGTAAGCAGGAAAACGCAGTGAAAAGGGGGCTGTCAAGAGTGACCAGAGGCAAGAGACACACCTCGGATAGGCAGACACTTCTTCCAGGCTTCGTAAGATGCCTTGGGATCTCTCTTGAGCCAAAGTTGTGCCTGGGCATGGATCTCATTGCAGTATGGCTTCACCGTGGTGAGGGCCTCGACAGGGACATCCTGAATGAGGGAGTAGAACAAGGTAAGAGGTTGCCAGCACACCTGGGTCCCAGCTTGGAATGGCACTGACATTCCAGGGGCGATATACAAAACAACATGCAGCTCTCCTGTTCCAGGATGGGCTCTTGCTAAACCTGTCTGCGCCCACATGAGGAGGGCCATCTCCATGCTGCGTGGAGTGCATGGACTTCGGAGTGCTGGCCTCCACAGCCACACACATGGCTACAGTTACTAGACAATCAAAGTGGAGTTTTACTCTCTACTTAAAGACTTACTAAGCAGCTACTGCATGCTGGACACCACACTAGGTCCTAGGGCTGAGACACAAATTAAGCCAAATCACCCTTAGATTCAAAGAGTTCATTATATCATTTATTTTTTTTTTTTTAATAACATTCTGAGGTGGTCACTCCTTTACATCTTAGAGATGAGGAAATGGAAGACCATAACTAGATTGCCCAGTCTTGATGTTAGTAAACAGGAGAGCTGGGATTTGACCTTGAATCTGTTTTAGGTCCAGGGATTAGCACCTGCGTTCATAAAGTATGTGCAAAGGTGCAGATGTAGGAAAGGACACGACACTATGTGGAAGTCACAGGCCATCTGTTTCAGTTTTTCAAAGGCCTTGTTCTGCTCTAAACTTTTGTATTGTTATGTCTATATTACACTAAACTCAAAAAATCCCAACTCACCTCTGCCAAACTAAAGCAAAGACAGCCTGGTGATCACCTCAGAGAGGTGACCTTGAGGAAGTTAGGGTACAGCGCTCAGAGGTTGTGTTTCTCCCCCAGCCCCACTGCCCCACCCCCCCCATGGTGGATGGCACAGCACCTTATTCTTCTTGCTGGTTGGGGCCGGTGGTTTAATCAGCTTCTGTAAGATCCGAAGGCACATGAGGGTGATATTCTCAACGACCACTGGTGTTTTGATGTTCACGGCCATGAGGAAAAGGCTGAGCGCTGGTGATGAGCACAAGTCACAATCAGTATACAAGGTCACCTGTCTCAGCAAGGCAACCGTAGTGTCATCTTTCTACCACCTCTCACCTGGGTACCAGGACTACACCTTTCTATTTTCTGAAAAGTGCCCACCCAGATGGTCCCCAAACTCACCACAGCGTAAGCGGAGTTCCCAGCAACTGTCCTCTTTGGAGATGGAATCCGTCAGCAGCAGCATCTCATACTGAAGGCTGCTTGCCTGGAAGGTCAACAGGATGAGGGGACTCAGGGGGTCCTAAGAGTCCAGGGATCAGGGCAAGGTTTAAATTCTGATTAAACAGGACTCCTACTAACATCTCTAGTCATGGGTGGCCTACCAGGACAGGGAGACATCGGAGATCCTGGGCTATAGGCTCTAGCTGGGGGACATGAACTCCCTCCCACCTCAGTCTCCAACACTGGCCTGGAGAAAAGACCAGGGACACAAATGGACCATGAGGGAGAGGTCAGAAAGGACAATTGCTCTGCTCACCAGGTCAGGATTGGCCCAGTGGCCCTTCAGGGCTGTGGAGACTTTGCCAATGATCAGGTCGTTCATTTGCTGGGTGGCCTCTGGGTTATCTCTGAGGAAGCAAAGTAAGAGCCTTGTTAGTCACAGTGAGTGTGCGTGTCCCTCTTCACACCTAGAAGCCCTGAGGAAATGGATGCATGGATGGCGAGCGCCACCTGGCCCACACTTTTCTACCTTCTTCCCAGCAGCAAGACAATGTCTTTGACTTTACTGGGTCTATGATGGGAGGGGATTAACGGAGCCCCTTTTCCTAGGGTCAGTAATAGAAAGAAGGATGCACTAGCAGGTGGGCCACACTGCAGGTGGCAGGGCCCTAGAAGCTGCTGGTGTCCATCTCCAAAACCCGAGTCCATGCTCAGTGTGGGCCCCGTGTCCTTCCTACACAGCACCCCACTCTCAGTGTGGGCCCCGTGTCCTTCCTACGCAGCACCCCACTTCCCATCTGTGTCCCTCCTTAGTAACATGTCTACTGTTAGTGGCAACAACAAAATACACTGCACACCTGAAAACCCAGACCTCAAACGGTACTGCTCAGGATCCTACGGGACCTGCTGCTTCCAAATACTAACACTCCTTTCTCTTTACACCACCTGCATCCTTGTGCTCTGCAGCTCTGCAGGCCTCTGCTACTCTCAGCATCCTGGCACCACCTGTCTCAACCTCTCTAACAGCTGCTTCTAGAAAGCCTGTTGTCATGTACCACCCCTCAGAGAAGCCATCCTACACATGGGACCATCAGCCCTGTTCTAGCTGAGTAACCTTATTCTCCAATGCATCTACCGTTATTTATTCCAACAATCCCCATCTAGAACGTAACCCACTGCATGTCCACAGTGCTTAGCAGGGCGTTTAGCAGGGCCTACCATTCAAAATGCCCAATGTTTAGTTTAGCACATGTTAAACTGGAGTAAATAGCACAGCATGTAAAGGTATGCAGCACCTAAGATATTCCAGAATTTACACCACATAGTAACCAGTCTACACAAAAAGTATGACAATGTGAGCTGTTATTTACTCAATTTTAAAAAGTATTTTGGGCTGGGCAGTGGTGGCTCATGCCTTTAATCCCAGCACTCGGGAGGCAGAGGTAGACAGATCTACTGAGTTTGAGGCCAGCCTGGTCTACAGAGTGAGTGAGCTCGAAAGCTACAGAGAAACCATATTCTGAAAATAATAAATAAATGTATGAATGTATGAAAGTATTTTGTTTTTAATTATGTGTGTGCATGCTATGACTTCCTGAGGGTGAGGGCTTCTGTAACATGCGTACAGTGCCTGATGTTGGATCCTCTGACACTGGAGTTTAAGTAATTGTGAACCACCCAGTGTGGGTGCTGGGAACCAAATTCCAGCCTGAGCCTTCAATCTCCAGCCCCTAATTACTGAATTCTCACCCCTCTCACCAGCGGCTTTAGGGTATTTACTATTAATGGTATTTCTTAGATGAGTCTTTTGTCCAAGGCACACAGTGCACAGTGCCAGATCTTGAGCCCAGTCCTTTCTGACTAGAGTCTAAGCACTCATCCCTAATCTCCTCTGCTTTTCCTTGAGTTTCCTTCCTTCACTCCCTTATCCTCCCCACCAAGCAAATTCCCTCAGGACATACCACCTGAACCAACAGACCACCCTCAGGACACACCACCTGGACCACCAGACCACTCACAGGGCACACCACCTGAACCACTGAGCAGACCACTCAAAGAGCTGACTGTGGTGCTTCCCACATCCACTCACCTACCGTCTTCTCTCACTTCCTCTGGGATAAGCCATTATTGTCTCAACTCTGCACCCCCTCAGTACTAGCATTGGTGCTGCCACCACCCCAGACCATGGAGCAAGTTCTGACCTGGTCAGGAGGCACATGAGCTGGCGGACCTCCTCACGAATGGCTGCAGCCCCTCTTCGGAGGTTGTAATCAAAGAGCTCTCGGATGAGGCCCTGGGAGACGAGGATGTGCCTCAGAGCTGGATTGGTGGCCAGGGCCCTCAGTAGTGTGATACAATGCTCTGTGACAGCTGAGGCACAGCCATAGCACTTGGTGGAGGAGGTGTGGCCACAGCCTAAGACAGACAGCGCACGGTACTGGCTGGCAGTGAATGTGGGCTGCACGGATGTTCGGGATGACTTTGTGGCTGCTTCCCTTTGCTGTAGATCATATTCTAACAGCTCTTTACGTGAAGCAAAAACTTTCTAGGAATGGAAAGATAAGAAATTGACAAAGTAAATAAATGGAGAAGGAGGAAAATTGGTTTGCTCTGAATTTACATGTATGATAGAATTTATTTTTCTCACTAACCCTACCACTTATTTATTTCATCTTTATTCAACAAAAGAGGATGCTGGAGCTTAGAATGACTGGCTCGACCAAAGAAGGTCAAGGGCAGAGATGGAAATCAGTCTGATCACAGGCTCAAACTCATCACTGGCACAAACACTATCTTTTAAAAAGTTAGAAAGCCAGATTATTTAGCAAAGGTCATCATCAACTTAGGGAGACAGGGCCACTGGCTGCTCTTCTGGGATGGGGCTCCGCTGCGGATGGCCAGCATCCTACCCATGGGAACCATGTGGGAACATTAAAGGAAAGCACGGCCCACCTTGGCTTACTACAGCTGGAGTGCTCTTACCCTCCAGCCTGCCACCATGGTGTCCAAGAAGAGGGAGCAGAATCTCAGCACTCACTTTTAAAAACCTCTACTAAAGAAAGATGTGTTGTCTCCTGCTGTCCCACCACCATTATGCCGATTCTGAAAGCAAACAGCTCTCTTTGACAAGTGGCCATCACCCTAGAGTGAGCCAGTGTGGCCTGCTGGGCTGGCAAGGGCAACACTAAGAACAGAAGCCTGGCTGGGGTGAGGGCTGCCCTGAAAGCATAAAGCATCCCCTGCAAGCTACTCCCATTCCCTACCTGGATGATTTTGGAGAGCTCATCAAATGAGTTCTTGCAGTCTCCACAGTACTCCTGAGCCAGCTGCAGGATATAGCGATTCACACTGGCTGAAGTGGAGCTGATACCCCCCGTTGTTCCGGAGTCTTCCTGCAATCCCAAGAGTTCAAGTGTGAGACTTCTGCCCTAGGGATGACCTCACCAAGGGCAGCCTCCCATTCCTGACCCAAATGCCCTCCAGTCTGGGACCACCTGTGGCTTTTCTGGAGCTGCTTCGTTCACTTTGCAGAGCAGGTTCTCGAGCTGTGGCCGATGTCCCATGAGCTGATGGTACACACGGTCAGCTTTGTCTAGAAGTGTGTTGATGTTGGAAACGGCCTAGACCAAGGAGACAGGCACGTGAGGGAAGACTCTTCAGCGCCCTAACTGCTAGCCACCTACTGAAGCATGTCCTCTACACAGAACAGGCACATGGTTCCACACAATCTGTCCTTCACGACAACCCTAGGTGGTGGTATATTAGTCTTAATAGCAATGTGCAATGAACTGGATTCGAACAACTCAGTGCTAAAACAACTAACGGCAGGTCACACAGACACAAAACAGTACAAGTGCTGTGAGAGTTTTTGTCCTTCTGACTCCAAAGCCAAATGCCCCACTGTCACCCTTATCAGGCACTCCCTCTCCAATGCCCTTTACTACCAGAGCCCGCTGAGGTTCTGTCCTTCTGATTCTGAACTAAACTGCTCCTTGACACGCTCATTCTGCACCGACAACAACACTTTTCCATTCTGATGCTTGAGGCCAGCATGCCTTCCGCCACTGTGGGCTCTACCCAAAAGCTGGGCCCGTATTTGCTTGTTTTCTCTAAGGCTCATAAACTGTGAGTTGAAGGCTCAGTTCACTATGCCAGCTCTCCACAAAGTTCAGTTCAGGGCCAAGTCATGGCTGGCCTAGGCCAGATGCACCCTTACCTTCTTTCGGTCTTCTTCATTCTCGATGGGATCCACTGCGCAGCAAGGCTTGGCATAAAGCATGAAGTCAAAGCGGGCGTATTTACAGAAGCCACAGGCATTGCAGAGGAAGGGATCCTTTTCATCATAGTTGATGGACCTGAAGAACCAAGGTGCTCAGGTCAGTGGAATAAGAGGTTCGGGGCGAGAAAAAGTGAGCTACAGAAAAGAATGCAGCGCATGCTTGCCCTGGATGTGCAGGACAAGTTACCTGCACTTGTGACACTGGTAAACATTCTCCCCACAATTGCCACAGACGCCTGGGTTGGCAGGAACAGAGGCACTGCAGCGAGGACACTGAAGGGTCTCTGTGGAGGCCTGGTAGTTCTCATAGAAGTCTGCAAACTCAATCATCAGGTTAGAAGCCACAATGGGCAGAGGCAGGTCAATCTTGACTTCCGTCTGTCCAGGCGTCAGCTGAACTTTCTTGGCTTTGTGCCAGCGAGCTGGCCTAGGAGAGACAACAAAAGCTATGGAGCAGAAGGCTGAAGAGCCTACCATTTGACGCTCAGTGATGAAAGACTGACAGTGTGACAAAGGCCACCCTACATATTTCCCTAAAGCAATTAAGTGGCTATTCAAAGAAAAAGAATTTCCTTTATAGTTTGCTCTGAAAAAAACTATAAGGCAGACCCTTCTCCAGGGTAGTCCTCATGCCACTGCCAAGGAAACTTCTCTTTGCAACAGATAGAGACCAATACAGAAAACCACAAAGGATCAAAATGCAGAGTTGTGGAGCCCAGTTCCAACTGATGATACATCTACAATGTAAGCCCTGCACCCAAGGCTCGGGGATCATTTTAGAAGGATCCTAAGAGCCAAAGGAACAGAAGTTTGCTGTGAGACTGTACCTCTTAGACACATCAGAGAAGCTATACTAACACGGTTGCCTAAACCCTGCCTGAATAGACAATAGCAACAGACATGCTAATAATGTGGATGGGAGACCACTTACTAGGCCTCAACTGCAGTAGAACTACAGGCATCTAAGGAATGTTGAGAGCAGGAGATACAGGCTTCCCCAGGGAAGAGCACACCAATTGGCTATCCAGTGTCACATGCAGCCCTGAAACCATTACCAGTGGCTGTGCTTACTGTCTGGGGGAGAGCCTACCCTGACAAGGCATCAGTCCTTTCGAGGCCAATGACTTCTCCAAGAGCAGACTCTAGGCAGCGATCCAAGTCACTGGTTACAGTGAGTTGCCTTCTCCTTTTGTTTGCATAGCAACACTTGAGCCTTAACAGACCAGCCACATCTACCTCTGTTCAGCTGTAAAACCTGAGATTTGAACCAAGTGCTTGGTCCCTGGGGAGCCAACACAATGCAGCCAGTGCCGTAGGCCTGTGCTATGCCTGCCCAAGATGCTGGCTTATAGGGGGGTGGGCACGTGCAGAAATGGAAGAGCATACAGTGGAGAAGGCTCTGGTGGAATACATCCGTATGGCTGCCTTACCCAAAAAATGCCAACTACATTCCAATACACAAGGTTTTCTTCTATAAGGCAAGAGAACCTGGAGCCCCCTTTTCAATGCCCCCACCCTGGGGAGGCTGTGAGGAACTTTCATTGCTCCCCGAGGAAGCCATTTTCAATGCCTTTAAAACTTATTGCTGTCAACAGCCTCAGAAACTGTAGCTTCACTGCTGTCCCTCTATCAGCACTGCTATGGCTGAGAGGATGCAGAGCCTCTGGGCACGTCTGCTCTGCACCCTGCAGGACACAGCTGCAGTAGGTGATACTTGCAAAGCCCGTACTTGTTTTTCAACTCCACAATGGCCTGCACAGTTCGGTTGTTGTAGTACAGGTTGATAGTCCGCACCATCTTGGTCCGCTTCAGGTCCCCAATTTTCACTGTCACCTTGCTGATGGTGTGACTGCCAATGAGCTTTACAACTTGCTGGGTGGTGGTGTACCGTGTGTCCACTTTAATGGATGATAGCTTGATATACTAAATATAAGAGTACATAAAACACAACACAATGAGATTAGACCATCTACCTTCTTCAAAGTTGATCAACATAACCCCCTCTCCACCCACAGATGAAGTTTCTACACAAGGTAGCAAGTGTGGTGAGCAAGAATCCACTGTGCCAGGCGGCAAGCTGAGAGGGACCCCTAGGTGATAGTAACCAGCCTCTGAAAATGGGGGCCACAGAGCCATAAGACCTTGAGACTGTCCTGCTCAAAGTATTACTTACACAAAATGGCACCTCGGGATTATTACACACCAGGCAGGGGTCACTCTCCAGGTAATAGCCATCAAACTCCACTAAGCCAGACAAGGTGCTAGGGAAGAAACCAGTCTCAGCATTAGCAGCTTCCTTCCAGGACCATGCCAAAGCCATGCCCACTCCCCATCCCCTGTGAGGGGAAGGAAGTCGGGACTACAGCTTAGAAGGGCTCAGGAGGCACAGGAAGAACAAAGGTCAACTTATCGATCTCAGGCGTTTCCCACTTCTAAGCTCATGTCCGAATCCAGAAAGGAATTAAAATCTCACTCAGAAGAGTCATGATTAAACTTACTATTAAAAAAAAAAATTCCTAAATTATGTTTAAAGTGCTTGTGCTATATAAATTATACTCACTAAAGCTGTTTTCTAAAACTCACTACCTAAGGAGCCAGGGAGATGGTTCAGTGAACATGGTACTTGACATGTAAGCATGAAGACAGGAGCTCAGATCCCCAAACCCCACATAAATGCCGGGTGTGGTGTATGGCAGCTTGTCTACAATTCCAGCACTTGGGGAACAGGGACAGGGGATCTAAAGCAAGCTGACCAGACTATCCACATCAGCAAGTTCTCGGCTCAACTGAGAGGCCCGGCCTCAAGTAAAATGGAGAGCAACTTAGAGCACTGGGACTCTACATGCTGTACACATGTGCCCACACATGAAAACACAGACACATACCATATATAAATGCACACTTAAAAACAGTCATTACTAAACCAACATAATAATAAACCATAAACTTAAGCAACATCCTCTTCTTTTAAAAGTTTCTCTGAGGCTGACAAGATGGGTCAGAGGGGAAAGCAGCTTGCAGAGCAAGCCTGACAATCTGAGTTCAATCCCTGGAACCCACATAAAGGTGAGGGGAGGGAACTGACTCCAAAGGCCTGACCTCTGACCTCCACATGTGTATCATGGCATGCAAACCCCAAGGCATCACAGGCATACATGCACAGGGGAGGGTCCTTTTTTTTTAATAAAAAAAAAGGAAGACATTTCTGTAAACTTGTTTTATATTAGGTTAGGCTAAGTTCTTGAAATCGGCCCTTCTGCTATAACTGCTCACCTAACTGAATTTGGCAATTACATCTGTGCGCTTTCTAGAGCCCAGCAAACAACTACTTCAAACTGTGATTGCTCTTCAAATGGCTGTAAGCAAACAGGACTCACTTGTAAATATTGGAGTTGGGATGGTTGGTGAGAATGTGGTTTTGAGTCCTCAGAATCTCGACAGCCTTTTGTGAATACTCCTTCAACTGAAACAGAATTCAGGAGAGAAATACACTGATTAAAAACCTGAGCTTGCAAGATGTCTCTGGGGTAGAACTGTTTCCACCAAACCTAGTGATCTGAGTTTGATCCTCAAGACCCATATAATAGGAAAGAACTGATTCTAGCAAACTGTCCTCTGACCTCCACATGTATACCAAGGCATGCACACCCTCCCCCGCCAAATTCACACATCCATCAATCAATAAGATTATTAAAGACATTTTAAAATCTAAATCCTACTGGAAAGACTTGTTTTGTATTTCTGGTTGCTGGTCCTAACTCCCAATTCGTTAACAGTCTACCTTCCTCACAAGTATCCACACTCCTCTGGCACTAGACAGAGTTTGCCATGTGGAGAAAGATTAACCAACTGACTATTACGGAGAAGTCAGCAAGTGGCTTTCTAGTTGCAGCGGCATTCCTGGCTCCCAAGCAGGCCTCCCAAGCTGAACCAGCTACCTTTCCCTCCCATGTGACCTACTTCTCTTCTCCGACAGCCACTTACTGTGCATGCTATCTATGAGGCATTTAGACTGGAGAAAGATAAATTACATTCAATAGTAGCAAATGAACCACTAGACAGATTCAAAAAAGATTCCATGTGTGGACACTCTCTAGATGGCCATAATAATATTATTCATTGATGAGAAAAAAAGGCTGCATGTGGGGGACAGGGATTTCTCTCTTACCTTCTTCTCTGTCTGTGCAGTTTTCAGGGAGAAATAACCCAGTAGATCCACAAACTGGGCAGCCTTCCGACCGTATGCTGGGAGTTCTGGCCAGATAGACCACATAAGATCTAGCAAGAGCTCCTGCTGAGCCTTGTTGGAGTTTCTATAGGTAAACAACAGCTCTGATTAGCAGGCAGCCATGAGTGAGGATTCTCAGTATCCAGCAAGATCTAAACACTGTGCCTGCACTGTGTCTCATCCCACACACAGTCATGGGTCAGGCTGCCAGGGTCTTGTGGCTCATGACAATCCTAGCAGATATGGCACCATCAATTTACTGGCTTCATCCAATCTTATTCCAGAGGATGAGCTGAGCTTTCTTTAGCTACCTATCATTTTAGGAACTCCTGACCACAACCTGCTGGGTGGAAACTGTCTCCTGCCAAGGACATTAGCTTATTAGCTACAAAGCAGATAGCTCAACAAAGAGAGCTCCAGGGCTTGAGATCAGCAGGTACTGACAGTGACCATAAGCATGCAACCTGAACTCAGAGCTAGCACAGTGCCAGTCCCAGAGCCAGCCCTGGCCTACCTGTAGATGTGCAGGGTCAGGCAATGGGCCTGCCAGCGCACTGAGGAAGAGTTGGACTCCAATAGGAAACAGCGCAGAAACTGGATCAGAGTCTCCTTGTCTGCAAATCTGTTCAGCTGATTCACCAGAGCAGTGCACAGCTGGTCCTCCTGGCTGCCTGAGCTCTCACCTACAAAACCAGGGCAGGACCAAATCATTAAGGGGCACAGTGACCCAGAGGCCCAAGGGCTCACAACTAGTAGAAAGGAAGGAAATCTATCTGTTCTAAAAGTGTCTGCTAAATGGTTGGAATTTGCCAAAACGATTTCAAGTTATTTGGGGGACAAATGGTTTGGCCCCACCTGGTATATGGTATCCACACCCCCACCCCCATGGATAGATAGTAAGCATGGCCCTGAGCCAACAGCTACAGTGGTGGAATGTCCCCAAAGAAGTTTTGTGCCTCAACAGTGAGAGTTGCTCTGTACTTACTCAGAGATGACAAGGTAATTCACTGCTTCTTCCCCTTGCTGATCACCTATCTCAGGTCTTTGAGGACCATGAAAAGTGGAGAAGCCAAAGGGGAGGGCTGGCCAACAGAGCAGGCACTCAGCATGTGCACAGGGTTACGCAGTTTTAGTATTAACAACGTTCAGTGTACCCCATCCTTTCCTGTTTCTATCACTTGGCACACAGAGTCACAGTTAAGGTGGCCCTTTCACCATGACAGAACATGTGAGCAGGAGGAGACAGTAGAGAGCATTTGTGCAAACCCTCCAGAATCTGCAATTCAAGAATGTACTCTGAGAGGATTAGCAGGTCACCTATCACAGGAGCACACACTGACTCTTACCTTCTTTCTCTTTTTCCTTTTCTTCTTTCTTGCTCTTTTTGGTGGAAGATTTGGACTGAGTTGTGGCTTGTCCAGAACTGGCCGCAGCAGGGGCTGAGGAGGAAGCCACACTGGAGGACCCCGTGGAGGCTGCCAGGGCTGCGAGGACTTTGCTGCCACACAGGGCACAGGAGAGCAGCTGCAGCAGCACGGGGGACACCCCCTCGTCCACCAGGAAACTCACTTGCAGGAGGAAGTACAGGACAGCTGTGAGGAGAAAGGTGGAGTCAGCTCTAGAATGACTGAACTACTTACAACATGAGCAAGAGCAACTATGAATGAGAGCCCCCCCCCCCCCAGTTCTCTCTGCTAGATGCTACCAGGAACAGTGGAGTGATCGCAAAGGGATGGGGTGACTACACAGAGGGGATCCAGCCCCTGCTACCTCGAGTAAAGTTCTACATCGCCCTGTTCTCTGAGACTTTAGTGCTATGGCCTGGAAGCCAGCCACTCCTGTAGCCACCACATTTTGACAAGCAACCCTCATCACTGAAGTTCTGGCTTGTTTCTGTTAACGGCTTTATCTCCAGCCCAGCTCCAGCTTAATACAGAGTGTTCTCCACAGATGGTCTCTGCAGAGATGAACAGTAGCAACCCAGGGAGGATGACTTACAGTCATCTTTGATGCAGAACTTCTGCCAGTTGATGGTTCGCTGGGCAGCAATCTCTGCACAGGCCTTCAGATGCTCCATCTGAAACAAGAGCCAAACAAGGTGAGTGATGAATGCCATCAGGCCATGAAATAACACCAGCTGCTGTGTCTGCTGGTCTTGGCTTGGGACCACAAGAGTAACCCTGGTTTTCCATGTGAGGCAAGTATCCTCTGGGTTGTCTGGTAGATCTGGGAGCAGAGCCCACATACTCCAGCAGCCAGCTACCACCCCTACCCTTCCTGCCCAGCCTTCAGTTTTCTGGGAAGCTTCAGGCTAGTTACTAAGGCAAAGGCATGCCATAGCCTGAGAAGCTACTAGTCACTTCTCTATTTCCACTATAACAACAAGGACACTGAATGAGGAAGTTAGACTGTCCTTAACACCAAAGATGAGATGCTCAAATGAAAAACACTCCACTTACTCTCTCAAGTTCAGTCTGTCTTTAGGCAGCAGAACATATTTATACTAAACCCATCACTTCTTTAGTATTTAAGGATAACACCCAGAGGTGTACCAATCTCAGGCTGACCCTATGATGTGAACAAATGATGCCAAGATGTTCAATGCACCCACTTCATAGGTGACGAATCCCTGATGGTCTGGGTAGGGAATTCCAGACCCTAAAGCCAACTACTCAGTGTCAGTGATCTACCTGGCACTTGTCTCCAGACATAACATTCTCTGAAATATTTAAAAATCCTGCACTGCCCTCTGCTATTACCTCCTTGGCTGAGCCTTACCACGCGCCCACCCCTAGCCCTATCATCCCAACCCTCATACCAGGCTGATGAGCGTGTCATACTGCAAAGCGGAGCCAGAACTGGCTGTAACCACACTGGCCCGGAGGAAGATGCCCTGCTCTTCCAGCAGTTTCTTGATCCCACGCACATGGGAGTCCAGGGTGTGCAGATCTCGGAGCTGTCGATACTTCTCCTTTGATCCACAGATGAAGAGCAGAAGTTTTCGGACTTGACGGCGCACAAAAGGGGTCTGCTGGATCATTAGGTACTTGAGGTATAAACAACACAGTTAGTTAATGATTCAGGGACTGTAAGCACTACCTGTGGCTACAACACCCTGTTTGTTAAAACAAAATAAAACTTATTGAAAACATAAGAGAATAAAAGCCAAGCCACAGTCAGCCACAGGGACCTGGGTGGAGGTGGATTCCCACAGAGGCTTTGGGGTGCTGATCCCTCATGTAAGATGTTGTATTTGCAGATAACCTACACACACCATCCCAGAGTCAAACGCCCAACTCTACTTTTCAGGGGAAGGAAGTGGAGAGAAGGCAGGGAGGCACAGCACGAACTGCTGAGTGGCACTCAGTGTCTTCCCAGAGTTGATCTTGGGTTACTGTAATGATTAAACTATTATCTCAGCTCCAAACCATCTCACCATACTCTGCTGAGAGGCCTGCCTAGAACTGGGCAACCTCTACTGTCCCTTGGTGCTGGCCTCCAAGGGACTGGTGTCTACAGCTGGGGAGCCCTAGGGAAACTGAAGGCAGGTGTGGGCTGGCTCAGCCCTTTGCTATATCCAAGACCCAGCAACAATCATTCACAGAAGAGCTAGAGGGCTCTGATATCGGACATCCTCCATACCTAGTCAATCTACAATGCATCTCCTGAGAGCTCCAAGGCACCAGGAGGAACAGTACCCCCTCCAACAGAGCTGTGAGCAAGATGCTGGGCTTCCTGTTCCTGCTAGAGAGGCTGATGGAAGTCTGTGTGACCACAGTTCTTCCTTTCTATCTCCCTGTTTCTCTGCGGAACTATTTCACTAGTCACCAGTCTCTTCACTGTATCAACAAGGGATGAGGAGTAGTGTATGTTCTCTCTTCCTGACTGACCTTAAAGACTATAGGGACATTACAAGGACACAGGAACAAGAGCCAACAGCTGCTTTGATACACATATCCATGTCACTACACAACACATCTTAAAAGGGGCAAGAACATGATCTGTATGAGTGGAAGGGCTCTGCACAGGACACTGAATGAGGATTAGGAGGAAACCAGCCTACAAAGGGGAAAGTGGAACTTATCTCTCTTGGAACAGGACACTGCTCAGGGCTTCACTCACCTCAGAGAGAAAGTAGAACCAGGAGTGATCAAAGACAGGAGGAGGGATGCGAGAGCTGGTGTCTGCAATCTTTTTGATTTGGTAGGGGAGCCTCAGGACCATTTCAGTGAGCAGCTGGGTATAGGCTTCAAACACATCAGCAGCATGACCCTTAGAAGAACATCTTCATAAGAACCTGGACACACCAGTGTTCCATGCTCACAGCCATGAAGGCTTGTTAACCACTAAGCATTAAGATGCCTTTAAAGCCGAAGCCTTACTTCACACAAGAATGACAGTGGAGACAGAGCATACAGTCCTTAAAAGCTCTGGCATTTGTACAAGATGGCTCAGGAAGTAAAGGTACTAGCCACCGAGCCTGATGACCTGAATTTGACCCCTTGGAGCAACATGATCGAAGGAAAACTGACTTCTAAAAGTTGTCCTCCAACCTCTACACATACACACTTACAGAAAGAGAAGAGGGGAGGGGAGGGGAGAGAAGGGGAGGAGAGGGGAGAAGAGAGGAGGGGGAAGGGAATACAATCCCAGGTATACAGGTACATACTCATACACACAATTTTTTTTTCAATTGTAAAAAAATTTTTGTTTAGATTTATTTACTTTGTGTATGAATGTGTTGCCTGCATGCATAAATCTGCAAAAACATGTATGTTAGATCCCCTGGCACAGGATTATAGATGGTTGTAAATCACTATGTGGATGGCAGGAATTGAACCCAGTTCCTCTGCAAGAACAAGTGTTCTTAACCAGTTAGCCATCTCTCCAGTCCCCAATTAAAAACAAACAAACAAACAAACAAAACAAGTTATTTTTAAAAATTGTGTGTCTGTGTAAATGTCACACATATTTGGGTGTCTACAGAGGCTAGAAGAGGGTACTGGATCCTTGCGACTGGGTCACAGGTGACTGTAAGCCGGCTGATGGGGTGTGCTCTTCACTGCTGGACCATCTCTTTAGCCCCCAATACATTTTTTCCCCCAAAAAAAGATTAATATTGACCTGGAGAGACAGTTGTTCAATGATTAAGAATACTGGGTGCTCTCCAGAGGACCCATGCTCAATTCCCAGCACCTACATATCAGCTCACAACCATCTTTAACTCTAGTCCCAGGTCCTCTTCTGTTCCCCATGGGCACCAGGCATGAACATGGTACACAGACATACATGCAGGCAAAAGCCCTATACCCATAAAATAAATTTAATAACTAAAAGTTATACAAAACCATCAGCTATTTAATAAGACTCAGAGACGGAAATACATGGTCAGACTGACATTTTTCCCTATTATATCCCTGCCTACTCAAAGCAAGCAGTTGGTCTACCCTCCTGGGTCCACTGACTGGACTCACAGAGAATAAAGTGTAACAACCATTACCACTGATAATGTCCTGCTGGATGCCATGTACTGAGTTCTTTATAAATACCAAGCTCATGACCCTGTGAGGCAGATAAGATCTGCATACTTCTCCAGGTATAGTAGCTGAGGCCACTGAGGCAGGTAGAATTTCTCTATGCTTCCCAACTCATAGGTAAGATTCCATGAGCTTTTCTTTTACCAGAGGCCCATCATAACTAGCATGTTCAAGAACCTCTTATGAGGTATGGAGAGTATATGACACAAACATGGGAACATGGCCCATTGCTGCTGCTGTCACCTTGTCTCATGTTACACCCTCACGTTTTCCCAAGAAGCATCGTATAAAATGAAGTAACTTACTCCACTTGCTTCCTCAGCTTACAAAAGGAGGCAGGAATCAGAATCCCCCCAGACAGGCTGAGAGCACTGCCTAACTGTTGTCATTCTGAAAGAAGAACCCAACTCTCTGTGTGACTCCTAACACTGGTCTTCCTAGCTTCACTTATGGAGGGCAGAGCACACAGCTCTGAGGCGAGCCCTCACCTTCACATACTGGCGGAGAAAGAATGGGCTCATATCTGGTGGGGATGATGTCGTGTGTGGTTTAAGCAACTGGCTGGTAGCCACGGGCTCCTCATCATTCTGCTGGCTCTTCCAGTATTCTAGCAGAGACTTGAGAACATGGAGACAATAGTCCACAGCCCCTGAGCTCAGCAGGGCTGCTGCTGTGGCACTGGAGATGAGGGAAGAAGACTGAAAGGGAGAAAACACACAGGGCGGGCAAGGCTGTTGTAAAAACTGAACCCAGGTCAGGCAGACAACGCATTCACCACATAGCATTCTTAGATCTCAGCCCTTACAGGCGTGCGTTCACCAGTCTGTCACATTACAAGTTTCTCAGCTGACTCAATCACTCTCCCTAGCTCTTTCAACAACTACATTGGGAGAAAACAAATGCTAGTTCTCAACCTGACCTTACTACACCTCTATGCCAGGGAGGAGAAGCCATGTTCACCTTTCCCCCCAGAGCTAGACTTTCCCCTTCCCCTGAAGCAAAGCAAACAGCAGCTCATTTGAAGGAAGTTCCACTCTAGATCCTTCTTGGCAACCTCACCCTCCCAGTAGGGGCTCCCAGAAAACCAGGCTCCAAAGGAGATGGGGTGAGTGATGGCATGCATAAGGAGCAGGAAGGAGCAAAGCTGCTGTACATAAGACCATTAGGAGAGCCTTGAAAATCCGAGCAGACCCCACAGCTCATAAGCTCATTAAGATCGGATGCAGTTCATCCTTGATTTCCACCGTCTCTGCTTTGTACTAATCTCCTTTCACCACACACACTTGGTTTTCTCTCTGCTCTATTACCATACCTTATAGCAACAGACACTGGGAATCCTCTTAGCTACTCTGTGCTTTGCAGAACAGGCCCTTGCTTTTCAATAGTGGAACCTCCAAGCCCTTTAACTCCTCCACTGGAGGGACAAACTCATCCTTCCCTCGGTGACAATGGTTAGCAGACGACTGTCACTTCTGCCCTCAACCCTGCACTAACCAATCCATCCTTTTACCTTGCCTCCACCCCATAAGCTCAAAGCACAAATACCTCACAGATGGAAGACTTAGATCCGGACTTGGTGCGGGACATGAAGACACTCAGGAGTCTCATTACTACCAAATGAACTTCATTCAAGGCACTGCGCTCATTTTTCTTGGAGACATCCTGTAGGCAGAAACAGAAGCCCAGATGCCCTATGCTTCCTCTAAGCTCCTAAGGGATTCCGCTACACCAGGGGCAACAGAGGTCGATGCATTCAGAGGCCATGGGAAGATCTGAACAACAAACTTAATGCTTTTGAGTCCCCTGGACTAGAAGCTATAGTGATGGTTACTCTCACTGCCAACCTGACATAACCTAGACTAACCTGGGAAGAAAGTCTTAATGAGAGACTTATGGATCAAGCTGTCCTGTGTGAATGTCTGTGGGGGACTGTCTTGATTGCTTCAACTGATGTAGGAAAATCTAGGCTAAAAATGGGTATCAAGCATTATTCCTGGGATTTGTGCTCAGGACTGTAGAAGAATAGAGAAAGCAGCTGGATGGTGATAATACATTCCTTGGATACCAGCAGGGAGGTAGGGGCAGGTGGATCTTTGAGTTAGAGGCCTGCTTGGCCTACAGAAAGCCAGGGTTATGCAGAGAAACTCTGTGCGGTCTGTCTGTCTGTCTGTCTGTGTGTGTGTCTGTCTGTCTGTCTGTCTGTCTGTCTGTCTGTCAGTCTATGTTGCCTATCCTGTCTGTCTGTCTGTCTGTCTGTCTGTCTGTCTGTCTGTCTGTCTGTCTATCTATCTATCGATAGAAAGCTAGTTGAGTACTACCATGTGTCCATTCACTCTGTCCCTTGCTTTGGATGTGATGTGACCAGCCACTTTAAGTTCCCACCTGGACTTTCCTGCAATGATAAACTATAACCTGACCAGTAAACTGAATAAATCCTTTCTCCCTTAATACTGCTATTATCACCACACCAGAAATAAAACTATAACCTAAAGCAAGAACCTGAGAAAGGCTTCCGGCAATTCCCTGCTCTCCACATGGCACACCTTTCCAGTTTTACCTTTTTGTCCATGCCAAGCTCAGCAATGAGCTGGGAGAGCAAGTTATCCAGGGCCCCCTTGTCTTTCTCATCTTCTCCATCCAGATCTGTTGTGAGCATCAGAATGACCTAGCAGGCAGAGAATGAACACAGAGAGTCAATTTCCTAAGGCAGAATGGCTGTACGTGTGTGTTGTGAAGCAATCCCAACCTTGTTGACTTCTCTGCCCAGCCTCAGATGCAGGAGGGTATTCCAGGTCTGCCCTCATTTAAGTGTCCAGGGTTGTAAATGTCAAATTTTGACCTGTGCCATTTGGGGCATCGTTGAAAAGACTTTATAGAAACTTTAGAAAAACAATGAGTAACATGCCAATCCAAGTGGTTTGAAAGACGGCACTGTGCTGTATGAGAATTAAAGAACAGAGCATGTACTGCTATACTTAGAAAGAGACAACACAGACTGTGTCAGGAGAAGCCTTGTGCTCTAGTCCTGTCAATTACCTAGTTGGATGACTTTGGGCATCCCCTAACCACAGCTATAACCTGAAGGGCTGCAACTTGCAGCTCAGGATGTACTCCATACTTCTGTGACTTTAACACCAGCCTTCTGAGGCCTCTGAAAAAGAAGTGCATTGTCCCAAGGTAGCCTGACTGTTATGCAGTTGATCCGGGAGAACTGAGGGATACCTGCATGTATGGGATGGCTCGGACACCTCCAACGCTTCGTAACTGCGGCAGTGTCTGCAGTAATCTCTCCAACAGCATCAGACGGACCATGTGTAGCCTGAAAGTCCAAGGATGTCCAGGATACATGAAGTGGGATACAAACAAAACCCAGCTGCGTACAGCTCCTGCCTCCCACATTGGGGCCAACAAGGAGCTGGATACTTAGGAATAAGCCTAGTATGCTGAGTGACTAAGGCTGGGCAAAGTGACACATCCCTGTAATCCATCCCAGCACCCAGGAGACTGAGGCAGGAGAATCTGAGTTGGGAGACCAGCCTGGGCTCTGAGTGAGTTCCAGGTCATCAGTTGTGAGTACTTAGAGAGATCCTCTCTTACAAGAGCAAAATAATAATGATGATAGTATTTAAAGTATTATAAACAACTTTATGCCCCCAACCGACAGCTTTAACATAATGAACAGATTCTACATAAAACACAAAATGCCTAAACTGATTCATAAAGAAACAGAAACAGACAGGCAGTGGTGGTGCACACCTTTAATCCCAGTACTCAGGAGGCAGAGGCAGGCAAATCTCTAAGTTCTAGGTTATCCTGGTCTACAGAGCTAGTTCTAGGACAGCCAGGGTTACACAGAGAAACCCTGTCTAAAAAAAAACCAGAAATAATTCTCTATGGCACAAAAAAAAGATTTTGTATTTTTTTTTTAAAAAAATCTTCCCTCAAGGATAATCCATACCCAGATCCCCAGATCAACCTTTACTGGTGAACTTTTCTAAAAATTGGTGAGAGAAATAAATCTTATACAAACTCTTCCAGAGAAAAAACAAAACTGAAGCAAGTCTGGACTCATTTTATGAAACCAAATTAGCACTGTGACAAAGACGTTCCCCAAAGGAAAATTCCAGACCTTATTAAACACTAGCAAACCAAGCTAGTTAACTTATGACCAGGCATCCCCACAGCTTGATTAAGTGCATACAGTAAGACAAATCATGACAACTCATACCCTTAAGCAGCTGTAGGAATTTTAACTTAATGCTGAAAAAGAAATACAGTATTACACAGAACACACCCAACTGGGTGCCTTCTGCAAGCCCTCAAAAACTGCTCCAGCCAGACATTAGCCAAAGCAGCACAGTCCAACCCCCAAAGCAGCTTTCATTTCCTTTAATGCCCGGGAAGCCACACTCTTAGCACCCATCACTGCATCTCCCAGTTCTGAATGCTCAGACAAGCAGGGCCTGGTGACAGTGACAGGCTGGTCCTGACCTGTTGCTAGTGTGTACATCTCCTTCAGCTTCCCCTTCACCTTCTCCCTCAGAGCCGTCTCCCTCCTGGTGCCCGGTGGTGGTGCTGATGGCCCCTGTGCTTGAGCTGACACTCCCTGGTCCAGCTGGGTGCCCCTCAGCTGTGGCATCACCATACGCACTGCTCCGGCCAGACACTGGAGGGAAATGATTTTAGAAGTACACATTAACTCCCATGGTTGGCCATGCCCGGGAAAATGTTAGGTTTCAACAGTTTTTGGCTGCATTAAGTATGGCAGAACCCCAGTGTGGTCCTGGCCTCCACTGCATCCTTTCTTTCAGTCTTTACCTGTGCAACCTACAAAACTGTCCTTGGCCTCAGCTAAGAAACCACTAGCATGGGCAAACCTCACAGCAGGTGTACTGGGGGACTGGCTTGCTTAATAGTGAATTCCCCCTTAGGAGGTAGGCAGCAAAAACCATGGGAATATGGGTTTCAAGGTCATACCACAATCATTTTAATTGCCATTTATGGATAAAAATATCGCTGCTCTTTTGGAACTAACAGACAACTGAAAGACACCGTGAAATGTTTCCATATTAGCTACTGAATTTGAGCTTCAGTCACAGAACACTTGACATTCCATGGCTGAGGTCAAATGAACCCCATCAGACCCTGACTCCCCACAACTTCTCTCTGCAGAAGGCCATCTTCACAGGACCAGGTAGGGATTACTACCTTGTCCACCTCCCCCCAGCCCAAAGAGATCAAGACACCCGGGCACATTACCACTGTGCTCGCCAGCCACAGAGTCCACTGCACTTCCCCCGCTCTCTGAGCCCACACTCCCACCATGGTCAGCGGGCGAGGTCCGCAGGGTGGAGCCATCAGTCGCCGCAGTGCTGCCCTCATCGTCTGAGGCTGGAGCTGGGAGAGTAACAAGAGCTGTTACAGGTACAAACCCCTCCTCGGGGTTAAAGCATCACAGCACACTGCAGAGGACACAAGGCAGTTCTGAGTGTCCTGAGGTTAGAGGAAAAGAAGGCAAGATCTGCTTTGCCGAGTAATCGACAAAGGGGACAGACACTCTACAGGGGGAACTGCCAACAGCACTCAGACACAAGTGAAAGCCCAGGGCACCGGGCATTTCCTTCACTGTTACAGTATGTGCAGATTCAATAAGATTCTGTGACACGGTCAATGTGTTTTCTAGCCGAATGCTTCATGGTCACCAGAGTCGAGGTATTACTGACACCTATTAAGATCTAAACTGCCCATTGCCATTCAGAGCACAGAATTCAATGAGGTTTGCTCAGCAATCCATCTGCTATTATGAAATCACTTGTCATGAGCTCGAGTCGACTGATTTTTGTCTTTTCTTTTTTAATCAAATGGCCCAGAGGAGAGCTCATTAGAAAATGTCACACCTCTTCATCATCCTCATCAGATGCTAATAATGAAGCAAGGAAATTCCCCAGAGACAGCCACAGCATCCAGGATCAGGGCTGAGCTGAGACAGGAGGAAAATGCTGGATGAGATACACAGGGGAGGAAAGCCAAGACAGCCAGAGAGCATGACAGACATGACAAGCACAACACCACCACGACCATGACCTTGAAGCCTAAAGTGACAGAAACTGAAGAGACCTCAGAGAAGCAAAAAGCTATGATAGCAGGCAGAGACAGCCACTCTGTTTTTCTGGTTTGTTTTGTTTTGTTTTGTTTTGAAATCTAAGCAGGCTAGCCTTCCCAAAAGAAAATAAGCAACACAGGGATGCAGCAGTGTGAACAAGTGTCCATCCCTTCATGTCTGGGTTGATTTTCAAAAGATCTCTCCCATGTGCTGCTGCCACCCACAGTTTGGTCCAACTCTATCTGGGATTTTATCAAGCTAGGAAAGAGACTCAAAACAAAGACAACATAAGTGAAGGCTTCCTGAAGACCAAATTAAAACAAACAAACAAACAAACAAACAAACAAAAAAAACAAAAAAACCTCTCTCCCAAGCTCACTGGTGGCTACTTTTGGCTTTAATGGATTTGCAAATGAAGGCTAAGAACTAAAAGTTGACTTTACTTCTTGTCTCTTTCCATGCTGTCTAACAGGTTAGAACTCTAGAAGAACACTGTAAAGCCAGTGTGTTCCCTGACCTCTCCTAGGGTATCAGTCAAAGCCAGGCAGCATGCAAGGTGTGAGGAAGCAGGGCCACAAGCACTGATGCCAAGCTGCAGTACTATGCCTTCCGCAGCACATGGCTAAAGCTGAGGCAGAAGCAGGAAGTCCAGGATGGCCTGTCAAAGCAGCTGCCCGTCACACTCTCACAGCACTGAACCGGACTACAGGGTCTTGGGGGCCCTGAGCCAAGTTCCTTGCTGTGGACAGTTACCTGATGCTGTGGTGTCAGAGAGGGTTCCTGCGTCCAGAGAGGAAGAGCTGGGTGCCTGGCCGGACAGTCCCAGGCTCTGCAGGCCCAGGGCACTGCTGCTGCTGCCTGGGAAACAAGTGGAGAGTGAGCACAGCATCCCCTCAGCCCACACACAGCTCTGCTTTGGCCATCTGCTGTCCTCAGGAGTCTAAACACCAGGACATGACCCCTCTGGCCACTGCTGTCCACCCACCCACCAAGTTAAGTTACAGATTCAAGAGGCACCCATCCAAAAATCAAACCAGCAGTAACTATGAGACTGGTTTCCAGCCTAAAACTGTCAGAGCCATCCCTCACTCTCCACCTGTACCTCCGAGCAGCTCTCACCCAGATCAACCTCTCCCCCAATCGGGGACAAGCTAAGTCAGCAGGGTATCAGTAACTGCCATGCCCTCTTTCCTGTGCGAGGTTGCTGTGTTCCTGGCATTGCCTTCTACCTTGCTGGTCCTGCTGCAGGCTCAAGGCAATGGCTAGTTCAACCATGGTCTCGTCATCTGCATCAGGTGGGATGTCCAGCATGGGAGGAAATCCCTCGGCACCTGCCAACAGGGCCTCCAGGGGCGAGGGGTTGCCATTGTTGACATTTTCAGCTGTTTCCAGGACCATCGACTCAGACTGCAGAGAGAAAACTCCGTCAGTGTCCCACAGCACATGATAAGGCTGTTGAGTAGGAACCAGAGGGGAGCTGAGGTTCCTCCTCCCCTCTCCTGCCACCACACTCACCACCATCTCAAAATCTCCATGGTCCACCTCACTCTGTTCCTGGCTTTCCTGACGGATGTGACCACCATCGGGGATGCCTGATGACTGCATTTTTTCATCAGCATCATCGTCATCATCATCATCCTTGTCTCCTGGTCAAAGAAATTCCAGTCACCTAAAGGTACTTACTCCTTGACTTATAATGTGATATGGTCATATAATAAAAGTAAAAAAAAAAAAAAAAAAAAAAAAAAAAAGGGGGGGAGGGGGGTCTAAAGAAGGCCCCAGATGGCATCCTGCACTTGTAAGAACAAACTTAAACTTGGAGGCACTCCACTAGAGGCCTACTTTTCTTCTTCCTTGCAACTAACTAGCAGGGTCTGGAGAAGATGGCAATCAGCAGTAACAGACACCCCCCCCCACCCCGGCCCCCACGCCCCAACAGGAAAAGACTATTATAGCCCAGAAAGGATCAAAAACTTAAGAATTCAAAACACAGAGAAACTGACCATCCACAGGCCCTATAAGCTCCATTCTCAGAAGACAAAGCTTTGACAGAACAGGAAAAGAACTCAAAAGAGCTTCAGTATCCTGTCACTGCAGCCTAGACTTTGTTCTACAAACAGGTCTGTGAGATTCAAACTGTACAATCATTGTGAGAAAAACCAAAACCAGGATTGAAATCTGAAGCTATAGACTAGAAACCGAGACCACTGTGACAGGCCCTGCCGGATCCCTTGTCTGGGGGAAGGCTATGGAAAGCCTTCTACCAAGGAGGAGGCCTGGGCGAGATCTCAGACTGTTAGACAAGGATGGAGATCTGCCTTTCACTTGCTGGGTTGCTAAACAAAGTCCTTTCTTAGAAATACTAACTTCCCACATTATGGGTGTGGGCAATGCATGTATGTGGAGGCCAGATTGATGCCAGTTGGCTTCTGTCATTCACTGAACCCAGCACTCACTGACTCTGGGTGACAGACTGCCAGTCAGCTCAGGCATTCGCCTATCTTCACTCCCCCAATGCTGGAGGTGTAGACTCAGGTCCTCATGCTTACAAGGCAAGCACTTTCCCAACTGAGCCACGTCCTAGCTGCCTCACCCAAGAAATCTTATTCTAGAAGAGTGTCTGAAAGCTCGTCACATACATTCCTCAAAATATGCACTGTGGGATGGGACTACAGTTCAATGGCAGAGTGCCTGTCCAACATGCACGAGGTCTAACTCAATTTCCAGCACTACAAAAGAAGACATGATTGTTCTATCTTACGTACCAGCTATATGTAGCTGCTGAGCACCTGAGACACAGCTAGTCCAAGTTGAGAACAAACTGCCAGGGGGAGCCAGACACTGGATTTTTTTTTTATACTAACTCTTACTTAAAACACCAATATATCACAAAATCTCTAAACTTACTGTAATTTATTTCTATTTTTCATAAAGGTGGTACTTGGCCATGCAAGTACATCATGAAGAAAGTCTGTGAAATTTGCTACCTATTATTATTATTATATATAATAAGTCCTCTCAGGATTCTGCTTGTAAGCAACAAATCAGACCCTAATGAAACTATGCCATGAAAAGCAGTTTTGTTCTAAATAAAAAATAAAATACACTTAATGTTTAGTCACTGTGACTTTTTTTACATTTACTATTTGTTTTTTGTGAGGTTTGTCACAGATCATGTGTAGAGGTCAAAGGACCACTATAGTGAGTCAATTCCTCCTACCATATGAGCCCCACGAAATCAATTCAAACTCAGGTTGTCAGGGTCAGTAGAACTTTACATACTGAGCATTCTCATTTCACTTGATAGGCAGGCTATCCTTGAACACTTAACCCTTCTGCTTTATCATCCTCCTGAGTGCCAAAGATATAGGTACTCCACAGCAATGTTTTGTTTTGTTTTAATTATTAACAATTACATAGAAGATCTCGGTTTCTTGATTTTGAAAATAGGGTCTTGCTACACAGACCAGGCTAGCCTCAAATTCAGTGTCTGTACCCTCACCCCACCCTTACTGCCTCAATGTCCTATCAATTTTTAAATTGTCTTTACATGTTTTTCCTATGGCTTTAGGATGTTTCAGCCAAATGAAAGACCTTTACTTAACCATGTAGAAACTAGTAATGCAGATGCTGTGTCCTGGAAATGTTCCCATGGCTTTGGCTCTATTTTATTCTATTTATATGCATTTTTATATGCCACCCTACTGTATACAACATTAAAGGGACAGACAACTGAAAAGCCCTCTGGTCAACATAAGCAGCATATCCCAAAGCTGCACCTTCTTTCTGGGCCCACTGGCCCACCGAGAGTACAACCTAAACCCAGACTTCACATTACCCATTGGAGTGTTGCTTCGAGGGGAGGAGGGCAATGTCACATGTCTCCGTTTGTTCCTGGGCCTTAAGACTCGAATTAGAGCTTGTTTGCAGGAGAAGCTCACAGCAGGGTCCTACGGTTTGAAAGGAAGGTGTCAAGCTCTGGTATTCCAACATCATGAGCAGTGACTCCAGCTTGTCAACCACTTACACAAGGCAGAAGTCTGTGTCTACTGTCACCTGCATCCTCCTGGCCAAATGCAGCAGGATGGAACAGGCCAGCCTCTCCAGACTTGGCATGGCAAGACCATTCACCACTTTCCTGTCTTTTAGCTGCTGGGGACAGTCTGCAAGGCCATTTGATCCTGAGGCCACTTTGGCTCTCTACAAATGAACTCTGGCTTTTTATCACATAAGCAAGCCCTCATGTTCCTTTCCTCTTTGGTCCATGCCATGAACAGCACTTTTTAACACTTATCTTCTGTAACAGGCACAACAACACAGCCATTCACGCATTCATTTAAACAATACTTACTCAACATTAATTCTACAGCATGCGTCAGACTACGCCCTGGGAAGAAAGCATTGATGAAGGACCACACCACCCCCTTTCCTAGCCTCATTCTCTGCTGCTTTTACTGGTTATTGTGATTACTGACTCCCATCAATTTTTTTTTTTTTTTAAGATTTATTTATTTTGTGTGTGTGGGTGTTTTGCTTGCATGTAGATCTGTGTACCACCTGTATATAATGCCCAAGGAGGCCAGAAGGTGTCAGATCCCTTGGAGCATAGTCACTGGCAGCTGTTACTTGCTATGTGGTTTCTGAGAATTGAACCCAGGGCCTCTGGAAGAGCAGCCAGTTCTTAACAACTGAGCTCCTCCACCTCTCCAGCCCTTCCCACCAGTTTTTAAGTCTATTTTATTTCATTAGGTTAGCAACATATTAAGACTAGTTTCCACACACTCCCAGACTGATCAGAGGCACCCGGGTTGTGTTGATACGTACAGGACACAACAGCATCTGCATGTAGATCTTGGATGCTGTGTTGATACAGTCCAGCTCGCAGGTACAATAACCATGGATAATGTCTACCAATGCATTAACAGTAGCTTCAATATGAGTGAGGCCTAAATGGAAGAAAAGGATTATCTGAAAATCTGTTGACAAAAACAACCCTAGTCCTTGAAAGCTTTGAGACAAAAGCCCAAATTTTGATTATCACATAGAGGGCAGCTGGACAAAAACAGACACACACAGCAAAGCAAACCAACACATACTGTGGTGTGGCCTGTCAATTGTGGTTGGGCTGTTTTATTACGTCTCCAAATTCTATAAATGTCCTCAAAAGCCCTTGCAGGCCCTGCACCAGAGAAGTTGACAACCCCAGAAAAGGCAGGAAAATTCAAGGTGGACAAATAACAACACCCCTATGATCCCTAACACCTGAGGTGTTGACAAAGTAGGTTTCTGACAGGCCTTTTAGTATGTAGGTCTCAAGTGGTACTCAAACAATAGGCCCTGGGCATCTACTCTTCTCTTTGGCTGTGGGGTTCTCCACTTTCCCCAACTTTCAGGAATGTGACACATAAGAGAACCAAGGCAACAACAACTTAGAAATGAAAATACTTTTCATGGCTAGTTCTACATTCCTATCTTCTGAACTGGCTCTCAACCAAGTGTTTACCTTTATTTCATTTTCAAAACAAGATTTCTCTGTGTAACAGTCCTAGCTGTCCTGGAACTCACTTTGTAGACCTGACTGGCCTCACGGAGATCAGTCTGCCTCTGCCTGTCTGGGATTAAAGGTATGCACTACCATGCCCAGTTCAAGTCTTTCAAATATTTTGTTTTTAAATAACAACTACAGAGTTGTCGTCATCATTGTCCCCAATGTGAACCATGCAATCCCACTCAAAGGAAGGATACGTAACACACACACACACACACCCCTCTGCCCATCACACTACTGGTCAACATGGGCAGCAATGCACGGAGCTCACACATGTCTCTCTGCTACTGCTCTGGAGGAAAAGGTCACAGTGTTGAAGGGTTTACACCTACTTTACTAATATCAAGATCCAAGTACCCTTGCTAACATGATACCTGGCAGGCAGGCAGGTGCCAGGAAGGCATTCTTGGGCTTAGAGGCATGGAGTTTCCAGAAGTGGTTCACAAGCTGAGTGATGAAACTACAGCTGTCTCCTTCCACCTGCTTCTGTGGTTCTTTCCCCTCATCCGCTCCTTCTACGCAGGAGAAAGGAAATTATTAACGATGGTAAATCGAAGACAGAATTCAATTTGTTTTAAGGTTAACTCAGGTCAAGGAAGCTTGCCTGCGGAGGGAGTTTCAACTGGGGCCCCAATCAATATGCCAACTATCCCTAGATTCCAGCAGGCACATCTGGGGAAAAAACAGTCTGGGAAAGGAACATCACAGAAAACATTGTGTGTTAGAATTAGATAGAGAGGGGAGCATTCAGGATCTTTACAGCAGAGTCAAAGATGCCTGTTCCAACCATTTGACTAAACCCAGGGGAATGTCTGAGATTCCTCTAGATTGATTCCAGGATTGTACCGTTAGAAGGACAGACAGGAAAGCAATGGCATACAGGAACACGCAGGTGATAAGGAACTGCAGAGGCATCAACGAGCTTTTTCTAATGATGGCCAACCAGGTTTGGTACTGAGCCATCCATAGCCAGCCAATGTGAGGAGAGATGATGGAAGAAGCACTGAGAAGCCACTACACTAAGTACTGCCGACAGAACAGAAACCACAGCACGCAGCACACTGTCTCCAAGTACTAGGGCAAAACCAAGCTCAGCTTCACCCAAAGAACACAACCTTCTGTACCCCTCTACAAAGAGATACAGTGTAAGAAAATCCCACTCCTGCCATATCAGGGCAAAACCGAGCTCAGCTTCACCCTGGAATAACTTCACAACAGACTAGCTGAGATTCTGAACACTAAGCAAATTCAAGGATGGTCAGGTTAGTTAAAATGGGGCAACGTCAGAGACTCTACAAAGTTATAAAACAGGGAACAGATTATCTGTCATCAGAGTCAACAAGAACAGGAAGAGCATGACAAAGGGCAAAGAAGGTGCACTAAGCAGGTTTCAGGACCACGGCCTCATAGGCCAAGTTCACCTGTTTCCATCTGGGGCAGCTTTGACTCCGTAAAGTGCACAAGGTTGTTAGGACGCATGATGGCAATTGAGCGAGCTGTGATCACTAGTCGCTGGAACACCTCAGGGTCTAAGTCCTTGCCTTCTTTGCTGGATGTGTTGAGACACTGCACAGCTTTGCTCAGCAAGGCCTGGTCCTATAAAACACAGGGTCATAGAGGGTCAACCATAAACAAAAGCAGCACACTAAATCACATGGAGGTCTGGAAACTCCTCTCAAGAACTGTCACCAGTAATCAAATCAATCTTCAGGCTGTCCAATGTTCAACTCCCTGACACAATATCAACAGTCTTTTATAAAGTCAACCAGGGGCCAGGCAGTGGTGGTGCATGCCTTTAATCCCAGCAGTCGGGAGGCAGAGGCAAGAGGATCTCTGTTAGTTTGAGGCCAGCCTGGTCTACAGAGCGAGTGCCAGGCCAGGCTCCAAAGCTACACAGAGAAACCCTGTGTTGAAAAACCAAAAAGTCAACCAGGGGGTAGTGGTGGCGCAGGCCTTTAATCCTAGCACTCTGGAGGTAGAGGCAGACAGATCTCTGAGTTAAAGGCCAGCCTGGTCTACAAAGTGAGTTCCAGGACAACCAGAGCTGATACACAGAGAAACCCTGTCTTGGAAAAGACAAACAAAAAAGTCAACAACCACATAATCGGCTCCATGAAAGTAGCATCCACTCAATCATCAAACTACAGCAGCCAATCACTTCCTCTGGCAGTAGTTATCACTAGCAGGACCTTTACCCAAGGATGATGCTTCTAAAACAACCTTTCCTTGGGAAGCTTTGGCAAGCTGAACTCATTCCTTGATGTTAAGGGAAAGAGGCACAAACACCGGGCTGGCAGTGTCCCCAGTGCCTTTCCTCCTACTGGTCTATAATGTCATGTTTTCCATCTACCCAAAGAGGCCCAGCTCACCCCTCCTTCGGCAGTTACTAGCTTTTGTACTCACCCTGTGAGGCCCAACAATAAGTAACCCCCAGTCAACAACCACCTACCACACTTGCATGCCTCTCACCTAGCCCACAGCTGAGGACTTGGGACAACAGTGTATTAACCACCTATGGCACTTTCTGGACCCTTGCACTTTCCCATGGAGAAGCAGGCACCAATACTCACTCTCTTTTTTAAAACTTGCCGATCCGGTCAGAGAAAGAGAAAAATAAAGTGATGTGCTAGTGGCTTACTAGATTGCTTCCTCAGTCTAGAGTAGATTTCATACATCTCTTGGGAGAAACTTGGAACTGGCTTACTCCACTAGGGCCTTGCTTTACAGATGAAGAGTCAACTGATTTGACTCCCTCAGGACAATTTCCATTTCTACAGAAGGCCTCCCAGGGAGAGAGGGATTACCTTGTGGCTATGGTAGGCTGAGCGGCTGGTGTGCAGGCTGGCCAGGAGGCTCTTTGACTGCTGTTGCACACTGGCAGGTGCTGGCAGGGAGAGCAGCAAAGTGGCCAGCTCCTGGGCTGCATGCTTGTTTCTCTCCTGATGTGGAAGACAGCATGATTATCACTCACCCCTCAGTGCAGATAGGTTATCCACCACTGACTAGAAAGAGCAGAAAAGCTGTTGAAGCTATAACCCTCCCACGACACAGGTGCAAAGCTCGGAGATGCTTTGCAAACCAGGACTGTGCTGTCAGTATTCTTATGCTTCAAAGCAGCAGGCCTCAGTCAACAACCCTACTTCCTGCCTCTTCAGAAAGCTCCCGTGTGCTTTGAAGAAATGACTTGCCTTCTCAATGATCGGGCCAACAGCAAAGCAGCTTTCCAAGGCTTCCAAAGAACTCACGACCAGCCTGGGGAGACAGAAACCCTGGCTTGAGTACAAGCACTGTTCTCTCTGCCTCATGTCAGCCCGGAAAGCTGTAGTATTGAGGACCTTGGGGAGAGCTATCAAATGCCAAATACAAAATCAAAGCGCAATAAAACCTGCCACAGGCACCGTGCATATCGCTGCTGTGTTACAGGCCAGAAGAAACCTGGCTCCTGCTTGGAGATCAACCTGAGGCCATGTTCATAATCCGCCACTCAAAGACGGGGCTTTTCTTCCTCAAAGAGGATAAATGTGCTTCCTTCTACTGCCTGTGGCAAGGATCCTGAGATGGGCTTAAGTCTCGATGCAACAGTGCCCGAAGCTCAGGTGCTCAGAGATCAGTGGGCAAAGGGAGGCACAAGGGAGAAGTTAAAGCCATCTATTTACATTGGCAATGTTAAGGTTATGCTTCTGCTTACACAGCCAGGAAAATGCACACAGGCATTTCCTATGGGCTCTACGTACAGGAGCAAACTATTTTTAGATGCATGCTGCTAGAACATTCAAAGATAGTGTGAAGCGTATTTAGAACACGGAACTTCTCCATTAGGAAAGAAGCAGGAAGTCCAGCCATTAAATAGTACCTAACAGATAACATGCTCTAGGCTTACTCCTGTGAATTCCCATGGCATAGTAAAACAACCATCATCCTGACAGCTGGGGTCTGGACAGGAAAGGAAAGCACTGAGAAGGTAGCTGGAGTGATAAAGGAAGGCGCCAACGATAGAGGGAAGATGGAGGAAGCACAGGATAAAGGGAAGTGGAGCAAGCTGCAGGAGCTTATGAACCAGTAGGGCATGTTGCCCCTCTACCCCCATCCCTTCGCATCCGTTGTACAGAATGAGCAGCAAGGAAGGGTTAAGGAAGACAAAGCCAAGAGGCTGATGTGACCAACACCAAGGGTGCACTCACAGTCCCAGGTAGGCTCCAGTTTACACATGGAGAGCTCTGCAGCCATGCAATGATCAGAACAGAAAGTAGCAGGACTTGGAACAGAAGCGAATCAGCGCAAAGCCACACCAATGCGGACGCTGCTCTCTGACACACACGCACTCGTGCAGAGAAAAGAAACAGGGCATACTAACCGGTCCAGCTTGGTTAGGGACTCAGTTTCAGAACTTGGGGGAGAAGCAAAGGGAAAAAAAAAGAAAAAAATGTGAAGCTCAGAGAAACCTAGAAACACATCCTAAGCAAACGATATATGAATTTGGGGGGGGGGGAAGAAAGGCAGAAGTGGGGAGGCTGTTGGTGGGGCACAGCAACTCCAAGCATGGCTATCTCAGGGCTTACAATGTAAGAAACCCACTCTTACATCCAGACCTGCTTCATCTACCATGGCAAACCAGCAGCCACCCAGCACAAAGAAGCCAAGCATGTGCTTACGAATGCCACCGTAGGGAGCTCTAAGGACACTGCACTCTCCTGCAAGATGCTGTGGCAGCCTCTCTTGCTGGCAGTGTTATTACCACAGAGTAGGAACTTCCACAGAGAAAGACGAGAAGATGACGCGATTGGCACAGAGGGAGGATGTTTGCTGGTGTTTCAGTCTGGATTCTAATCTAGAGTTTAAGCACTTTCTGACCTGCAGCCTCTGGCTATCCCAAATGCTTATGGAACATTAAATAAATGACCAAGCTTCTATCTAGACAGAGATCCAGCATTAGATTCCTCTGAGCCTATCTCCCAGGCTCTGTGCTTATATTAGGGAGAAACTGAATGCTCAGGGGACTGTGTAAGAACTTGACAATCACAGACTAAGGCTTGGGAGATTCAAGACATAGAAGGGCTCTGCAGTCAGTGCAAAATGGTTAAGAATTAAAGCCAAACCCTGCCAACACTGGTACCTCTCCAGGACAGTGCCACTGGTCGTAGTTGGAGCGGCTGAGTCACTCTCCCCAGTGCCATTGGTCTGATTCAGGTTGGAAGGGCAGATGTTGCTGACAGAAGCAGAAGGGAATTCTTCTGGCGGCTCATCAGGCCAGCCAAACTGCTCCTTAGTCTTGCCGTAAATTTTTACAGCATCAATCATGGTGACTCCTGCTGGATCCACCGAGGCACCGACTGCAATAAGAGAAGCCTTTAGGAAGCATATTTACTAAGAGCTCACACCACCCTCCAAGGAAAAGCACAGCACGGTCAGGCACACGTTCATCTCAGACTCGGGAGCCATGTCTGCCGAGACACTTGGCAGCACTCACTGCTGAATGCACAAGGAACAGTTCAATGGACCACAGTCTGGTATCTCCCACCTGGGAGAGACCCTGACCTTAACTCTAAGGATCCTCTGGCACTCACTGGTGTTCTACCTCCCAGCCCTTACTCCCAGCGATCTGTAAGCACTTTCTTTGCTCAGCGTTCAAGTCATCACCATCCACACAAAAGCAGCTATTTCTAGGAGAAAGAACTTCAGCTAAGTGGTCAGTAAGTGATAGAGAACACACATGATCAGGGATGCAGCTCACTTGAGTGCTTGCTAGATTCCATCCCTAACACCACACAGACCGGCATTGTGACATACACCTCTAATTCCATAACTCAGGAAGTGGACGCAGGAGGATCCGAGGTTCAAGGTCACCCTCAGCTATACAGTGAGTTCAAGGACAGCCTGGGATAGACGAGATCCTGTCTATAAATGGATGGATAAATTAAATGTAAAAGGCTTTGAGCCAGGGATATAATTCAGCTGATAGAGCACCTCCTGATTTCATGTATCAGTCTTGCCTCCTCTGACATGGAAGAGGTCCACCAATAAGGCCAATGCAACACCAAAGCAAGCAGTAGCTAACTGAGCCTGCCCTCCCTCTACCACAACATCTATTCTTTTAATAGGCCTAATGGCGTTGGTCTGTAATCCCAGATACTGAGAAGGCTAAGGCAGGAGGATCCCAAGTTCAAGTCCTGTTTGACCTATAGAATGGGAGCCCCTGTTTCAAAATAAAAAGTTTAAAAGGGCTGGTGATATTGCTTAGTGGTAGAGTATTTGCATAACGTGCATGAAGTCCAGGGTTCAATTCCCAGTACCATCAGCAAGAAAAAAAAAAAGCAGTCTTCTTTCCCAAAAGCCTACCTCTTAAACCTCAAATAAAGGGAGACCCAGGTAGAACAGGGATTCCTAACAGTGGAGGGCCACCTAGTGGTCATCCACTCTAGTCACAATGAGAAGGCCCCATGTGGATCACTCACTGAAGAGGTTCAGCTTCTTGTCAGCCTGCAGGGCTTCTTCTCTAGTGAAGGGGAAGTCAAACCAGCGGGAACGGCTCAGATTAAGCTGCATGGTTCTGCCAAAGATCTCGATGTATGATGGGGCCCGTTCAATTGCCTGGGTCCCAATCTGGATCCGCATGCCTGTCATCACCATAGTGCTGCTGTTGTTACTAATCTCAATGGTGAAGCCACCAGGCTGCAAGGACAAAAGCACATGTCAGAAATCTCCAGAATCCTTCACCCCACACTGCCTCTATAATAGCTACTACATAAACTTCATTTCGTTTTAACTCCATCCTAATCATGCCATGACTGAGGGAGAAGAGAGGCAGGGTCAGGCTTCCTTCCCCTGAGCATTAACCACCCTGTTGTTCCTGCTAACAATGGTGGGACTCAAGACCTTCAGCAGTTGAAATATTGATTTGTTCAAGGATCATTTGAGCAGAAGTGAGCAACTCTGAGTACATATTCTGTGTCTGATTCTAAAGACGATATGAGGCTAGCTAGCCCGACTGCTCAGTGGTGGAGTGCCTGGGTTCAAGCCTAGTGCTGAAAAGACAGCCACGAGTTGTTCACAATAACTGTCACAAGAGTACTAACCAGAAAGTGAGCCAGACCTGGGTGCTCCTCACCTTGGTGTTCGCCACGTACATGCCAGTGGAGTTCAGCCTGTGCTTTATCTGTTGTGCATTGTAGACTTGCAGGAGGTCATTACCACCAAACTCCACATCTGTCAGCTGCTGGTTGTGTTCAAAAAAGTCGATGGGGAAGGTCACCTGGCTGGATGTGCGGGCTGCTGTGGGAGGACAGTGCCAGATTGCCAGAGAGCCCTGGTGTGTGCTCTCAGCACCTCTGCTCTCACTGCTCTCAAGGCTCTTATGCTCCAATCCAACAAGATCCCATCATGATGTTTACTCGAGGTCAGCTTTCTAGCAACATCTCCCCAACCATGTGACTTGCTCTACAAAACTTGCTATCCGTATGGAGTGTACAGTTCATAACACAACAATCTATTTCTTTACAGGACATCATCATCATCTCAATCATAGAAACTCAACAACAAATTTAAGAAAACGTGATGATGCCTGCAGTGTACTTCACTTAGCCAGGATCATTCCCTCCTAAAATCATGCTTCCTCTTTTCAAACAGTCCTCTCATAGCAAGACGATGTCCACACTATTTTGTGGGAAATTAGCCAACTGAGGGATCTACCTTTCAATTAGATCAAACGCACAGGTAAGCCACTTCCCTTAACCCCAAAGCTGAAGATAACACTCTTGGGGCACCCAGAATGGCTGGCTCAAAGTGGGTAGCAAGTCTATGGCTATACCACCCTGAATGTGCCCGATCTCATCAAAGTAGGTAGCAAACGGTGGTTACCATGTAGGCCTTTATTTCAGAAAATTACCCAGAACTGGTCTCTGATCTCACCAAGTGTGCAAGCAGGAAAGCCAGCGCTTCTTCTGGCCATCACGGGGACCTACTCTGTCACTGTCTAGAAGACTGCTGAACCCACGCCCCCATGGTTCTGGAGGGGCCTTACTGATCGTAGCTGTTTTGCGCTTTCGCACAGGCTTCATGATGCTGATGACACTGCTGGGCTGTAGGGAGGGCTGGAGCCAGTAAGAGGTGTTCTCCACATTGGCCATGTAAATGCGCAAGCTGCCGTCCTCACACAGCAGGATCATGGTCGTCCGCTGCTGCTCATTGCAGGCCGTGTGCCTAATGGCAACCATGTCTTGGATCTAGGAGGAGAGGATAAAAGGGGAGCGGGGTATGGGTGGGGGGTACACTGGGTTAGTTCTCACACCTGTGGCTCAAGAGCCTCAGAGAAAGGTGATAAAACCTCAGGCTCCACAGGCCAGTTGGGTTGCAAAAGTGCAGCAAACACAGAAGCTAGAAGAGACAACTTTCTTGTTTGTTTCTTGAGATATGGGCTCAATATGTAACTTAGGCTGGCCTCCAAATTCTTTATCCTCTTGCTTCGGCATCCCCAGTGCTAGCTTGTGGATGTGTGGCACAGTATGAAGATGGAGAAACATTTTCGAGCTGCCAGCCACAGAATAAATTCCTAAGTAGGAAATATAGGGAGGGGCACTGACCTTGGCTTTGGCTGGAAGAGTCTTAATCTCCTGGATGAGGAAAGTGTCTGGTTTCACCATGACTACCAGAGGCACGCCAGTAGTCTGCTGGACACAACAGACCAAGCCAGGGTGGTTCATCACCTCAGACCACTGGCAAAGTGCAGGAGAAGTCTTACTGCCACCATTGGAGCTGCAGGCAACAAGAATGGACATGGTGTCACTCACTACCCCAGTTCCTTTTCAGTTCCTTCCTTAAAAAGGACTCTCCTAGGAGTAGCTATGTAACTCAGCACAGAGTCCCTGGCCAAGGGTTCAGATTCACCGTGGGCCAGCTGACTAAGAGCCGCATGGGTGCTACCATCCATCACTCCAGTGCGCCCCCAAGAGTCCTCTCCAAAACTTCACTACTTGGGAATCAGTGGCCTTTTGAGACTATCAACTATCAAGGCCATAGAGTTGCCGAAGGTGGGTGGCATGGTGTCCCATACAGTTCTTCTGCCCATTTGATATCATTGCAAACCAGGTTAATATACCCTACAGATCTAAAACAGTCTTCAGTAGCAGCTAAGAAGTAGAAGAGACACTGAGTCTCCTCCTCTCCTTCCCTAAAATAGAACTCAGCACTGCACACCCACCTCTGACACCCAGAAGCTGATGAGCAGACTTACCGGCCCCAGTTCTAGCCACACCCTCAGGACTGATGTGCGTCCTACTTACTGATGGGGAGGGACGGTGGGCTTCTGAAGGAGGCAAAATGAAAGGGCCTTGGGGCAGGGTGAGCGAGTGCCTTCACTGGCACTGTCTCCTCCTTAAAACTTGGCCATTGTTAAAATCGCACCAGTTGCCTTGACTAAAGGTTTTTTCCCTGTGTAACAGTGAACCCTCTCAGTGAACCCCTATAAGGGCTACCTCTTACAGCCTGGTGTCTCCATGGTGAAGAACAAGCAATAGGTAGCCCAACCTGCCAGCCATGGCTGTTTGGCTTTAAAGATACTCAACTGGAGTAGTGCAAGGCTGGTCAGAGCCAGCATGTGAAGCAGTAGTGGAGACTCGAGGGGTGAGGACGAGAAAGGAGGGCAGAGAGCCCTACTAAGGCAGGGCATCAAGGAGAACGGCACTCCACGACTATGCTCACCTTTTGATGTTGATGGGGAAGAGCTGCAACACCTCCAGAGTGCTCCTGCTGACCGTGGCTGCAAAGGACTTGCCCTGACTGTAGCTGAAGAAAAGCATCTGCAGCACGTGCGAGTAGTACACAGACACACCGCCACCCGCCACCTGGCTGTTACTGTCCTGCAGGAGAAAAGACACGCATGGGCAAGATTTCACTTACTGGCTGGAACCAAGATTCTGGGGTAGGGAGGACTTTAAACCACCACAGGCATTTCCACACCCAAAGCATGAGACCTCTACAAGTAAGCTTCCCATGAAGGTTGAGATGAACAGACTTAGAAAATATTACATCACACAAAAGTAAATTCTAGGTAAAGGAACGGTGCCTCTGAGGGGCAGCTTGGAGAAGAAGACCCTGGCTGATGGTGCTAATGAAGACACGTGCCTCTACTAGGAAGAGCACACTTCTGCTAGGTAGGCAGGATGACCCTGGTGAACAGCTACCTGGAAAAAAAGCAGGCCTGATCTGTCTCAGGAGAATTGACAATATTCTACACTATAAATCTCCCCACTTGTCCAAACAACTAAACCTTGGAATCTCTGTCTCTGTAAAACATGCTTAATTGCTCAAAGTGTAACATGGGGCTGCGAAACTATATAAGCTGATGGGAATTTCTGTTCAGGGATGGCTCCCTTTTGTGCATTACCCAGAACTGGTTATATGCTACTATTTAAGAGATTTTTCCAAGCTGGAGTGATGGCTTTAGAGGTTAAGAGCACGGACTGCTCTTCTAGGGGACCTGGGTTCAATTCCTAGATCCACATGGCAGCTCATATTATCTGAAACTCCAGTTTCAAAGGACCTGATACCTTCCTTCTTCTGGCCTCAGTGCCATATGTATGTGGTACACAGACATACACACAAGCAATCACCCATACACATAAAATAAAAAGGACATTTTTAGAAAGGTGATGGGTTGGAGTGACTCGTCACTGGGAAGGCATAGTAACTCCCTTAACAGATGCTAAGAAGCAAGGACCTTGCAGCTGAGTCACCTTAGTGATTTCGATTTTGCTATTAGGTAAAAAGAAGCTAAGTACACATGCATGCACACACAAGAAAAAGAAAACTAAAAGGAAACAACAGAGGAGTTGCTAAACAAATCAAACAAGGAACAGAAGGAAGTGGCAAGATGTGCTCTAACCTTCAGGTCCTCATGATTTATTTCCAGTACATTAGTGACATAGAAGGGACCCTGCTGGGCACTGCTGGCTTCCTCCATGAGCTGGGTGTACATGTACCCAGCAGAGGACATGATGACAATGATGTTCTTGCCTTCTTCATTGAAAAGGAAGGTAACATCTCTTATCTTTGAGCTCGGCAGCAGAAAGTAGAAGGTTGGACTCAAGGCATCAATAGATAGGTCGTAAATCTGCAGGGTGACAGGAGCAGTAAAGAAGTGTGATCTCTTTCAGTCTCCCCCCTAAAACACCCCAGTGACTTCTAACAGCTATAACTTCATAGCGTTGGGCATTCCACCCTCCAGTCGACAAGGCCTTAACTTGTAGTAAGGTGTTAGGCACTGTGGTGCACATAAAAACAAATGTGTTCCAAATCCTTCAAGTTGTGAGTGGGATGAAATTCACAGATTTATAACAAGTACTGACAGACGTGTGAAGAACCAGTTCCTACAGACACGTATCTACTTATCAATGCAAGCAAGTGATACTTGTTTTTAATTCAAGTGTTCTAGAATTAAGAAAGTCAGAACCACTTACCTTGACAAAGTCTGCAGTGACAATAGCCAGCTCTGTCTGTGATCCAGGTAACCACACAGCTTTGATGATGAAGTTCCCTGTCGCCAACTGGGGATGTAACACCAAGTGATCCGAAACAGAGCCAGAGCTACTGAAGGTGAGCACGTGGCAGTCCTGGGGCATGGGTTAAACAACAAAAAGTTAAAATGTGACTGCTAAAGTGGGCTGACTAATTTCACGTCAGAGCTCCCATGTTTCCTTCCTAATATTCCCTGCCTCCAGATTGCATTCAGACTGCCTAGACACTCAGGTTTCCAGAACACACAAAGATCAGAGCACCCGCAAGACATGAGTGAGCTCAGAGAAAGACCTCTGCATTCCAGTGGCTTTTATGCTTTCAGCTATCAGTGAGGAGAAGGTGAAGGAGAGGCCAGGGAAGACTTGGTCAGCACTCACAGCTCTGGGAGTCACTCCTGCACTGGTATTACCTTCAGCCCACACACTGCCAGGTAGTCCTCCTTGCAAGGGTTTCCAGTAAGACTCAGCACTGTGAAGGGAACCGGAGCAGAGGCCAAGCGAGTCAGAGTCAACTTCCTCTTGCTGGAATCCGCTTGTTTCAGGAGTGCGGAGAGCTGCAGCACTGTGATCTGTAAAGGAACCACCACCTGCTTAGCCCCAGTCCCAGGGCCAGCCCTCAGAGTCCAAAGCAGGTGGCAAGGTTCCTTGGGAAGGGGTGTGGGTCACTGGTGGACTTTATGGATTAAGTCTCTCAGGAAATGCCTAGATGAAGATTAGCCTCTGTTTCTCCACAAAGAAATGGAAGACCATGCATGCCCTCTTTCCAGTGAGGGCAAAAGAAATGAGAAATGAAATCAACTTTTCTGTGCAGAATCTTTCCATAATATAGTTAATTCCAGACAGGTATGGTGGCACACGCCTTTAATCCCAGCACTCAGGAGGCAGAGGCAGGCAGATCTCTGTGAGTTCTAGGCCAGCCTGGTCTACAAAATGAGTTCCAGGACAGTCAGGGCTGTTACACAGAGAAACTCTGTCTCGAAAAACCAATAATAATAATAATAATAATAATAATAATAATAATAAGTTAATTCCTACGCACCACTGTCCACATGCGTCCTGTTAAGCACTTTCTGGGTCAGCTGCTTTAAGGAATATCCACACTTCCACTTAAGGTTAAAACAACGGGCAACAACAGAGAACAGATACCTAACTAGCATTTCTCCACCTTAGCATCTGTAAAGAGCAGGAAGGACTACACAAGGAACACTGGTCTTCCTATGAAGGCTTCTGCCTCCCGGCTTGTGCCTTTCAGTGCCCCAAAATGGGCACAACTGGGAACTAAGCTGTCTTCAACACCAGCTGATCACTGCCTTTCCCTAGTCATTTCAGTTTTAGGGATAGCCAAATGACTCAGGTTCAAGCCAAAAGGGCTACTGAGATCAGTCTTGAAAGCATTCTCACAAAGCAGAGGATGCTTCCCCCCTCCCAGGGTCTACCTGAACACGGTTATCTCTCAGCTCCATTTAACACTTAAGATAATCAGGACCTAAAATGACTGGGAAGGAATCATGGAACCTACCTTGCCTTTTTCGTGGCTGACAGCTAAATGCTGGCGGCGCCCATGGGGGGAAGAAAGCACACACATAGCCACCCGCCTGAGCACATGGGCGCTAATCAGCTGCCGTATAGTCTGGCCCTGGTCTCCACTGTAATTCATCCGAACATTCTCAAAGGCACCCTCCTGTGAGCCTAAGGTCGGAACCTGGAAGAAGGGAAAAGCAGAAAAAGTACTGAAGTAAGCATATAACAAGCATGGCACCCTTTAGTCATTCAAAAACACTGGATCTGGGAGGAGCTGGGTGTTTGTGAATCTGGTCAAAATAAATTATATGCAAGCATATAATTCTCAAATAATAAAATTACTAACAACAACAACAACAAAGAAAAGTAGTAGGGCATGGTGGCAGAAGCCTTTAATCCCAGCATTTGCAAGGCAGAGGCAGATGGATCGCATGTGTTCCAGGCTAGCCTGGTCTATATAATGAGTTCAGGCTAGCAAGCCACCCAAATGAACAAACAAGCAAACAAGTATCATGTAATGGACTTCAGCTTCTAATACACCATGCTCAGCTAATTTTCAGTCTGTTTAGAATAGCAAAGTGAATCATGCAAGTAAATTAAGTACTGACTGTTTATTAATGTTAAAATCTATTTTCACTTATAAACTGATGGTAGTGATGATATAGAGTGTTTTTCTTTCATGCATCCCACCTGGCAAAAGTGAAGTTGGCAACTTGATGGGTCATCAACTCAAGTCTTTAGTTTTGGATGTCAATATCTAAAATCATACATCCTCCACTCTAAGAGGACTGGTGTTAATGAAACACCAGTGTATGTCCACACATGTATTCCTGGGTACAACTCACTCTCTCATGGTTCCCTTTGAAATCTATCATGACCTCATTCCTGGTGACTATTCTATTCTTGCCCCTCCAGGAACTGTCTCTTACCTACCCCCTCAAGTCAGGAGTCTGCATGCAAAGCTGGGCAGCCAGCCCTAAAGCCGACTAACAAATGCATTCCCAAGTTGAGAGAACAAGGGAAAGCTGTCCTTAACTCAGGGCTGGAGGCCAGAAAAGGACAAAGCTACTGAGCCTTAGTAGTCAAGAGGCTTTCAATTTTCTGTTAAAGTGCCCCAGAATGGAGCGCCTCACATCTTAGGAGTTGATGCATTCAGAAGCTTCAGTAAAAAGAAGACTTCCTCCCCAAATACCCAGATTCTTGTCACTCAGCTCAGCTATGGTTACCTCACTGCTCAGATTACAGCTGAGGAAGGACATGAGTGAACTCAGATACTAGGTTCTACACGGCCTGGGACTGACTAACTCTAAGTCTATCCCCAGTTTCTCTGGCACACATTGGGATGCCATGATATACAGGTTGTACAGTCAACAAACCTCTGGACCCCAGCATACTCACCATCAGCTGGTCCGTCATCTCCACAACCTTGTCCACTGTATGCAGCTCACTGAGGGCCTGCTGTGCCCGGCTGCTGCTCCCCACAGCTGAAGCCTGCTGAAAGTTGGTCTGAATGGCATCCATGAGGAAATTGAGCATGTCTAACACGAGAGGAGCGAAGGAGAAATTGGCCTGAGAGAAATTGAAATAAACAAGTGAAAAAAAAAAAAAAAGAAAGAAAGAAAAAAGAAAAAAACATGGGTCACATGCAATAATCTTGACATTTACTGCCTTCACCAAACCAGTTTCCCCTCTCCAGAATTCTAGCTCTGACTGCAGTCAATGTGCTACTGATAAAAGGAGCGTTTCTAAGCCAGGGTCCCACAGGCAGCCTACACCATTCAAAGAAGGCACCCAGAGTGTATGTCTTCCTCTCTCCTATGCATACAGAATGGGAAAAAATAGAAAAGCAATCACTCAATGGTTTTCTGAATTCTGGGCCCAGATGAGGACCCCTGGCCAAGAAAGCATGTTCTAGACTATCACTCCCTCTGCTGTAAATCCTTTCCCAGGGATGGAAACCATACACTGCTTGCATGTATACTGCAAGAATGAGAAAGAAGAAAGTGGGCTGCCAGGAGAGTCTCAAACACTACTGACTCAAGACTCACTAAACTCTGTCCTGTGCAGTAGTACCCACCAGGAAGCCCCACCTGATTCTGCAGCTCCTCACGGCACCCCTCAACTGTGCGGCACAGGCTGCTCTTCTTGGGCTTCTCTTCATCAGTAACCTTTCCATCGCTGATGGTGACCTTGGCCTTGTCAGCTGGCGAGGTGCTAGCATGGCGCACCAAACTCTCTGTAACCCTAGGTTCACTCTGAAATGCTGATTCCTTCATGGTAGAGCTCATGCCACTGCTAGGAGTTCGCTTCACCAATGCCTAGGGACAGGAAATGTCAGTGTCCCTGAGTTCTTGCCACAAGCCAGATAAACACACTGCTAAGATACTGGAAGCAGAGGATGAACTGGCTACACATGTGATTCCCAAGCCCGGATCCATGGGGCTCACCCAATGCCCATCTTCACTGCCCACTCCGACCATCAGGACTTGACTATATGAGGAGATTGCTGCTTTTAATGCTCTCAGTGAAGTGCTTGGGCCACAAATGGACACATCACTCATAACAGAATGAGAGCAAATTCTTGGCCACACAGAGCTGATAGGGGAATTAGTAACACAGACATTCCTGGGTTACTAATAAGTTGCCAGTATGACACCATGAAGGTCCCATCTCTCACCAAGCAGCTGCCATCTTCCTTGGCTCCACAGTCACAGAAAAAAGAACCATACTTGGCGTAGGAAATCTCATGATCCTTGTGGCATACCTTCGCACATACTGTGCACACACCCACCCCATCCACCATCTTACAGGTATGACAGTGGTACCTACAAGGGACAAAAACCAGTAGTTAAGTCATTGGTCCCAACCATGGTGACCCAGCTAGCCTCACTTTAAAAGAACTCACCAGTGCTGGTTCATAAATTCCTTCTGTGTGATGGTGAAGGTGCAGAGTTTATTGCAGAGAGAATCTTCATCCTTCAAAGATTAATAGGGCTTTTTAATCAGACACATAACTCTCCACATAGAGACCCATAAAAACACATCTGCTCAACACCCCATGGAAAGACACACCCGTGACTAGTGGGAACCTGCCCTGATATAAAAGAGCCAGCTGTCTGAAAGCCTCCAACAATTTCAAGTACAATCTTGTAATTTTTTGAGAAGGGGAAACAGACAATAAAACCCTTAATGCTTTCAAGGGTCCACCCCTTCACCATATGAAGAATGCATCCTTCCCCTAAACTTGTATTGGGTAAAACAGAGCAAGCAGGTCCACAGAGAAGAAAGGTGTACACTCATTTAAAGTTACTTCACCAAGGGACTGGCTCAGCACCTGTGCTCTACAGGCCCAGAAAAGCACAAGAGCAGAGTCTTGTACTAGGCATGTGGACAAGAAGAAAGCAACAGGACCGAAAGGTCTGAAGCCCACCCAGGACTCTTCCCTACTCAGCACTTACAGAATCCTCGGCCTGGGAATCTTCCTCCTCCACCGCTAACTCTTCTACCCAGTCTGAGTCCACCTCAATGGCACGCTCTTCCCCATCCACGGAGAGGTGACTTGATCCTTGGCCATTACTCTGGCTCAGGGCATTGGTGACATCAGCCAAGTAAGACATAATATGACACGTGCACTCCAAGACCATCACATGCTGCAAGAGAAAGAAACCCATGGAAGCTTTAGTTCTCAATTCATTTTAACAAGATAAAGTAAAACTGCAGTTGGGGGAATGGAGTAAAAATGGGAACTAAGACCCCTCAAGGGAAGACAAGCTTCTCAAAGGCAAGCTCCCTGCCATTAGCGTTACTGCCCACGAAAGCTGTCAACAGGGTTTTAAATGCTCAGACAGAAAGAAACAGCTCCAAAAGGACAATAACTAGTAGAAAAGGGGAGAGAGGGCTGGGGAGATGGCTCAGTAGTTAAGAGCACTGACTGCTCTTCCAGAGGTCCTGAGTTCAATTCCCAGCACCCACATGGCAGCTCACAACTGTCTCTAACTCCAGTTCCATGGAACCCAACACCCACGGCAAAACATCAGTGTACATAAAAATAAATTAATTAAAAAAAAAGAGGTGGGGGGAACTTACTGGGGTTTTGAGACCAGAGCCCTGCCCTGAATTTAGCCACCCTGCTAGGTTTCATGGGCGGGGAGTCAAGGAAAGTATCTGACCTGAGACTTTTATTGTCCTCAAGCCCTTCTACACAGCCCAGAGCACTGCAGGCACACTGATCAGCTGCAGTGTGGACTAGGGCTGAGGACACCATCCCTCACCCCTGGAACACTGACCCAAGGCAGCAACACAGGAGCATCTCAGGCAGCAAGAGTCCTGTGCTTAGAAGGACTCTGCTGAGTCCTTATCAGAGCATCACTTCCTGAGACCTGCCAGTGCCCCAAAGGCATACAGTCAGCAGGTGCACTTTACCAGGCCAAAAGACACAAGAGCTACAGAAGGGAGACTTTTCTCTACCTGACCAAAGATAAGAAGAAGCCTCTTCCCTGGCTCTCTGTCCTTAGCATTTCTCACGTTCCTTACCTTTCCATGCATTACATTGGCATTCAGTTTCTCAACCACATTCTTCTGTGACAGGTATTTCTTGCTGTCCCAAGGGAAAGAGAGAAAAGACACACAATCATCTAAGGCACCAACGGAATAATGCACTGTCACAAACCTCCTGAGATACTGTCAAGAATGGTAGTCCATTCAAGCAGCACAGAGAGCATGGCTTGGGCTTGGCTGGTCTTAGGACAACAGTGCATTCAGTATTGTTTTCCCCAGGACTCTTGTGACTAAGAGGAGGAAACTCCACTAAACATAATGAAGACAGCTAGGCATGGTACATGCATGCCTATAATCCCAGCACTGGGAAAGCTCAGACGGGGATTTTGAGTTTGAGACTGCCTAGGCTACGTAGTGAGACCCAGTCTCAAAGGTAGGAGTGCTGTCTGTGTATGTGCATTCCCCCACACGTGCGGTCATGTATAGGTATATAGGTGGTCTGATATGAACAGAGGGGCTGCCACCATGCCCCTAGTTAGATCGTAATACTCAGAAAGGAAGAAATTTTAGGTTTACTTCATACTAACTCTGAAGTAACCTGCAATTCCCCACCTCTCCTCTGAGTACAGAACTGTTACACAGGTAAGTCCCTCTTACCATCTGCCCAGCCAGTCCACAGCAGCATTGTGAAGCTGAAGGTGGCCAGCACCTTGTCCAGCACTGGCCAGAGTGGCCATCACAACCATGAGTTCAGGGAAGCCAGTACCATCGCCATTCGCCAGCATCTCTGTTGCCATGGGAGTCAGGGTGCCCAGAAGCACAGCACACACACCTTCTCCAACTTGGCTGGGGATAAAGGGAAAAATTGGCATTCTAAGTGTAGCCTTTCATTTTTGAGAGCAATGAAGACATCAGGCTCCAATGGATAGTTCAAAACGTATGGTCACATAGAGATGCCAGAGTACTCAGTGGGTCACAAAACAGAAAATCATAAATGGAGGAAAGTGACCTATGGGAACGGGTGATGGGTGAGAGATAAGAGAAATTGTGGAGGCGCTGGACAGATGGCTCATTAGTTAGAGCAGTGGCCACTATCCCAGAGGATCTGGGTTTGATTCCCAATATACACATGGCAGCTCACGACCACATGTCACTCTTGTTCCAGGGGCCCAGCACTCTCTTCTGACTCCCACAGGCAACAAGCATAAAAGTGAAGCACAGGCATCATGCAGATAAACACTCATACTCATATTCACACTCACAATAAAATAATAAAATATTAAAAATCTTTTTAAGAGGTGGGCAGGTCTCTGTGAGTTCACAGCCAGCCTTGTCTACATAGTGAGTCCCCAGACATCCAGGGCTAGAGAGACCATGCCTATAGATAGATAATTTTTTAAGGGGTATGTAGGGGAGAGTGATCTGAAAGCATTATAAACAGGCATGAAATCATCCAACTACAAATTGAATTACTAAAGTCAACTAAGTGTTGTAAATTAAGTATTAAGTATATAAATAAACACACCGATCTCAAGAACTGGACTTGAACTACTAGCACAAAACGTCTACTGAAGTTGCAATTGACAGACTAAGTCAGCGCACGCGCGCGCGCACACGCACACGCACACGCACACACACAC